AGCACCATAGCCTACGGTGTGACAGACAGGAGAGATCAGCACCATAGTCTACGGTGTGACAGACAGGAGAGATCAGCACCATAGTCTACAGTGTCACAGACAGGAGAGTTTAGGATACCTTAAAATGGTTGCCAATGTCACCTGACTTGAAAGTAGCCCAGCTGTACAGCAATTTACAAGGGAATGTTTGAGTAACATGCCTGACCATTTCCTGAAAATGCTGTAGAAAATGAATATTAAAATTAACCTGAATATTAAAACCTGAATATTAAAATTCAATATTAAAATTCAACATCTGGAATGTATAGCTCACAACGAGACATTCAAATGACTTTGGTAATGATCTCAACCGCAGGTATTTCGGAACAAAGAATTAAACTGAAAGTTGCTGTGCAAGAGGAGGATAGAACCACCCAATCCCTCAAATCTACATCGGGGGTGCACAGGGAATCTCTGACAATGCTACTCACCAAATCTTAGTGCTTTTTTTGCCTTTTTTTTGTGATTGGAAAAGATGTCCCTTCAGTAGTTTGTTGGCTGTGCATTTGGTCTCCCTGTAATGGCCTGCCTGTTTGTTGATCGTGTTATTGTTGTCAGGGAAATATAGAGGCGGAGCAGCGTCAGTCCGACAACTATTGGACCATAAACTGCCCAGAGTTAAATCTTTTAGCCAGCCGTTTCCAGTATTGAAAATACTTGGTTTAGAAGTTTGCAACAGAAAACTAAAATACAAAACATATAATAATATTTGTGGAAGGTGGGGGAGGATTGGTAAATCAATTACTTTGCCTTTAGACTGTTATAATCTCTCTTATGGTCAAAAGGCAATGTCAGTGAGTTAACTTCCTATGAAACTGGTCTAGTCACAGCTAAAGTTGGACTCATGGTCACATTTCCTGTAGCATTTTTATAGCGTATTCAGTCAAGTGGAGGAAGCAGACGGTAAGAGAAGCAGTGCCTTGAAATTAGTTGCTAGTTTAGCCAGTGCATACGACCTACTCTATTTCACGCCTTGCAGCTTGTGTATATTAAACAGCCGGGCTCAGTATGTCTCTGACAGACACCATCAAACTATGGGATGAAGGCATTACTGCAGCAGACCGCCAGGAGTGGTTAACTGCCCTCAACCTGTTCACCACTATACTCGAGCCCAGTTCCAAAATCTGTTTCAACATCGGCTGTCTGCATCTCCTCCGGAGAGAATGGAGCCAGGCTGAAAAGGTAAGTTGCTGTCACAGTTCCACACTTTGAAGGTGTATTCGGAATTACTTGAAATGCTTCTGTTTTTATTCCAAGACGTACCAAAATAACAAGAGGGTTATAATTCACTGATTAACATTGTAAACTCTGAGCAAAATTTAACAAGTAGACATTTCATTTGAGAAGATTAAACCCACAAGAATAGTAGGAAACGTAGTTAGTTCGTTTTTTACAGGGAAGTGAAGCAGTTTGTTTATTGCTTTATGGAAACAAAAATTTACCGAAAAAGTGGAAATGAAACTGCCCATGACATATAAATCAATTTCACAATTTACTGGATATTAATCTAACTGTTGTGCTACATTGGTGCAATTGTGAGTTCAGTTTTAATATGAATTAAAGAAAAGCAAAGATTTACAACAAACTCCATTGAAAATTACAAAGAGCAAAGGCACCAGAGGCATGTATCACTTTTGCTTCATGTGCCAGGCAGTGATCATCAACAAGAAAAATCTTTAGTACCTTCTCCTAATTCTCTACATTAATAGCCCTAGGACTACAGAAAACTATTAGCTGCAATTCAACTCTTAACCTTACTCCAGCATTGTCACTGAATCAATCTCCTGCCATTTCCTACCCAGTTCCAAAATAGGAGCATCATCAACCAAGCTATTTGTTCCCCATTTCCCTCAGAATCCTTTGATATATTTCATCAGGTCTCAGAATCTTTAGATAACCAAGCTTCTTTAATATTTTCCTTTTATTTATCATGTTACTCAGCTCATTTTAACCCTATTCAGGATTTCTCTGCACTCCATGTTATTAAACACTGAAATGAAACACTTGTTAACTATTCCTGCTAATTTCTACTTATCCTGCACTAACTCTGTATCCTGTCCCCTCAGAATCAACCTCACTTTTAACAATTTACTCTTTATTACTGACATTCGCACACCATCTTACTGTTTGTCATGATGATATGAGCACGAAATATTAATCCGTAAATCTTATCAATGAATTTAAAAGCCGTGGACTTTTGTTTGTGAGTAAACAGTTAATAATGAGTTTGGGATACCTTAAAATGGCTTCCAATGTCACCTGACCTGAAGGTAGCCAAGCTGCACTGGGATTTACAAAGGAATGTTTAAGTAACTTGGCTGACCATATTCCTGAAAACGTTATCCAAGGATAATTACCTGAACATCAAAATTCAACATCTTCAATATGTAGCTCACAATGAGATCTTCAAATGTCTTTGGTAATGATTGAAATTGCAGATATTATTGGAACAAAGAATTAAACCAAAACTTACTGTGTAAAGAGGAGGATTGAACCACTGTTCCCCAAACCCCATCACCCGAATCTTCATTAAGGGGAAACAGGGAAGCTCTAACAATGAAACTCGAAACTCTTTGAGAATTGATTAGTCATTGTTGTGGCCTAACAGCCAACGTTTACACATGGAAACACCACTTCTGTGAGGGGCCATGATGATTCGTTTGTGCTTGTTGCTAAAGAGGGCAGTAACATCCAGTCACATCAAAAGATGAAGAGCTTCCCTTTCACTGGACGTGGTGTGCCCAATTCTGTAAGAATGATCGGGTCTGAGAGAAAAACTGACTGTGGATACTTGCTGTACACAAATCCAGGACAACAGCAGAACCAGTTCGGCTGTAACCACCAGAACTTTAAAATCAACATCAGAAAATATAATCCTTCACCTGAGAACTGTAATCATTTCTCAATTCCAACTTCCCTCGTTCTGTCCTTGTTCTGATTGCTTGTACATTTATGTGTGTGTGTGTGTGTGTGTGTGTGTGTGTGTGTGTGTGTATGTGTATGTTGGCGTGAGTTTGTGTGTTTCTGACATGGAATTCCAAGTTAGGTTATACCTTTTTAATAATATTTATACTTTGTACTGAGTGAGTTTACAATAAAAAAGCCACTTCATTTTAACTATCTTAAAAGGATTTTCTGGCTTGTTTTTCACAGCTTTAATGCATGACCAAGCACATACTGAATTAGGGAAAAATACATTTGTTTAAAATTTAAAACATTGCTAAACCAAGAGCAAGAGGAAACGAGAAGAATTTACTCACCCCTTTAGACTTGGCTGCAAGATTTTTAAAAATATTTTTTGAGATACACTTCTTATACTTCCTCCTTACTTTCCTTTTATTCCATTCTCTCATGGGATGTGGGTGTTGCTGGCTGGCCAGTATTTATTGCCCTTCAGAAGGTGGTGGGGAGCTGCCTTCTTGAACCACTGCAGTCCATGTGCCTTTTCAGAGGAAATTCCAGGATTTTGACCCAGGAACAGTGATGTAATTCCAAGTCAGGATGACGAGTGGCTAGGAGGGGAATTTGCAGATGGTGGTGTTCTCATGCATCTGTTGCCACTGTCATTCTAGATGGTAGTGATCATGGGTTTGGAAGTTGCTGCCTCAAGATCTTTGGTGAATTTCTGCAGTGCATCTTCTTGACAGTATACACTGCTGCTACTGAGGATTGATGGTGGAGGGAATGGATGTTTGTGGATGTGGTGCTAATCAATTGGGGCTGCTTTGTCCTGGATGGTGTCAAGCTCCTTATTAACCTTGAAGGGTTTTTTTTTTTCTGTTTTATTCGGGTGTTTCCTAAATTTGACAAAAATTGTAAGCTCCATCAGACCTTCTTCAATTTTAGTTTGTTTTTAATCTCTTAATTTAGCCATGGTATGTATTTATTCTGCAACTATTTCTACAAGTAATCATAGAATAATCAGATAAAAGCAGAGGCTGGGAGCTGTGTAGCACTGCAATCTGACTGAGTCTGAACCCAGCAGGAGGGGCAATTATCATTTCACAAAGTGAAATTACAGATCAAACAATCACAGGAGGAGAGTATTCTGGTGACTCTTATTTAATCAAGAATAAAGTAAGAGTAGATCAGTTAAGTAGTATAAAAAAATTAAGTCAAACTAATGGTTTGCTATTTAATTACTATCTGGATTCAATTCATTGATCAGTTTCAGTGGATAAAGTTAAGTCCTGAAGAAGGGTAATTACCTGAAATATTGACTGCTCCTTTCCTCCAGATGCTGCCTGGCTTGGTGTGTTCTTCCAGCCCCCTGTTTATCTACCTTTGGATTCCAGCATCTGCAGTTTTTTTTTGTCTCTAATTAAGTCAATAATTATTTATTAAATAAAGGCAGACAGGGTACCTACAGCAGATGGGAACTACTAGGGGTTTCTTGTGTGCAGTAAGTATGGTCAGATCCAGCACTGAAACGGATGAATGCATGAACAAATTAATGAATGAATAATTTTATTGTCACATATATTTGGGAAAAACAGTGAAAAGTGTTTTCTGGCCACAATCTGGTGCCATTTTGTATTTCAGAATTAATAAAAAGAAATTGCTTAAATAGAGGAAGGGTCACTCAATCCGAAATGTTAACTCCGATTCCTGTCCGCAGATGCTGCCAGACCTGCTGAACCTTTCCAGCAATTTGCTTTTGTTTCTGATTTACAGCATCTGCAGTTCTTTCGGTTTTTATTTAAATAGAACTTCATCTTCTGTTCAATTGACAGAAAAATATAAAGGCAGAAAAATAAGAAATAATGCTCAACTTTACAGTCCTTCTTGTCAAGCATGGCATCTCTGGGCTTTAGAGCTCAAGCAATTGCTGGAACCATTGCAGTGTATCCATGTGTTTGAGAGATTTGTTACTAGCATGTTTCTGTTGTTCTGAGGCAAAAGATTTTTTTTTTCCTCCATGGAATAATTATTATTGCATGAGGGCTAAAATAAAACGGGCAATGATTCATTGCAAAACACCAAAGTACCTAAAGTAGAGCTGGGTTATTCTAGGGGCATTTTGATTTAAAAATAAATTAAAGAGTGCTCTTTACTGTCTAGGCATTTGATAAAAGCATCTGCAAGGATGAGCATTTGGCGGTTGCTTTCTATCAACGCGGGATAACTTTGTACAAAAATGAAAAGTAAGTTCTTTGCTACACTTTTTTAGAGTCAACTTGTAATACTCCTATTTGAAATCAAACAGAGCAGCCTATTTGGAAAAGGTTGAATTATATCCGTACAGTTTCAATAATGATTAAGAATTATATTTCGAAAGCATTCAAAAACACTGTTAATGTGAGCAATTATAACAACTCACCACACTGCTTGTACTTCAGTACTTTTTGATCCCAATCCTATATGCATGCTAGAACTTGCAAGTCAAAATTCCTTGATGGAAATATTTATTTAAGTGAAAGGTTACTTATGTAGTGCATTAATGGAATTTAACTTTCTCCTCTTGATGTTGCTTCACATTCTGTGCTCAGGTATGAAGAGGCTTTGAGGGACTTTGTAGAAGCCCTTAACCGTCTGAGGGGGAATCAGTTGATTGACTACAACCAGTTGGGCCTCCGGTACAAGCTGTGCACTTGTCAAGTAAGTCCATTTAAAGAGGCAATAAACAACATAGTAGAGCTAAGTAGGATACATTGGAGATCTTACTACAAGAAGTGGCCTAAAGAAAGCTGGCACTGAGGAATAAAGACCCATTTTGTCAAAGTTTTTCATCTTGCACCCATCAGGAGAATCCACAAGAAATGACAAAATAAAGGGTAGATAACATGCACACGGTAAATCTGTCATATAGTATTACTGTTGCTTTCCCTTTAGTTTGGTATTTCTTGTGAATTGCTCTGATCAGTGCAAGATGGAAAGCTTTGACAAAATGTGTATGTATCAGTAATAGTCAAGATGCAAACAACTAAAGGTGACTCTGTCTGAAAATAAACACTACCCTGCTGTAAAAGCATAGCTGTCATTGACATAAACTACTAGTGTTAAAAGGGATCTGAAGGTAAATGTAGTGCCAAACTTTGGAGGGACCATCAATTGTGATACAAAACAAAGTTGTGAACAGCTGCTTCTTCTGAATTGTGCCCAGAATGTTGTGTATGTCCTTTCATTCTGTTAAAGCTGCTCAGTAAACTTTTCACAATGATGGAGCTCACAGCAAAGAGTCAGCTAACAGGTTGTGAAATGTCTACACCCAGATGGTTCCTACTTTTAGGAAGCTTCCAAGTCCAACTAACAGCTATTTGCTTGAGGATGGTATTGTTCACTTAAATACCATCCACCCGATGTTCCAACTTTGCCAAAAAATGTGGAAACTTTGTCGCTTCCTGGATAATGTGCATGATGATCTTCTGTAGTGGATACTGGCAAAACAACAATTGATTGAAAAGTCTGTTGTTTCATTAAGGCCAATTAATGAAGCGTTTTTGGGTAAGTACATGTGGGACATTTTGTAGATAAGGGCAGCTCTACACAGTAAAAGATGTGTATGCTGTCCAACTGATGCCTCTGTCCACAGGACAATAATGAACTTGTTGCTGTTTCCAAATTCCTACCCAACACTTGCTTATGGAGTTCTGCACTGCAGATTGCCTGTCCTGGTATGGCAGACATTTCTTGAAAGGATGCCAAGACTCGAGCAGCCTGTTCCATACAGTGATGGTAGCAGAGAGGTTTTCCCTGATCTGTCTGAGATACACCTGCCGTAGTGATAGTCACAGCCAAAATATATTTGTTAGCTCATCTGAATTAAGAGCCGTATTCAGAAAGCTCCAAGAAATATTCAGTCTCATCTATTATAAAGTGTCAGGTTAAACCAGCAGTATGCAAGAATAGTGAAGAAAAGTAACATTGGAGTAATATCAAAATTCAACAATTGATTGTCAGCAAAAAAAAAGCAACTCTTATTACGAGCACAATTCAGCTGGGGCACACGAGAGTGCAAATTCTCAACTTGCGAAAAGTAACATGAAGAATTTATCTTCTCAACTTAAGAGTTAATCTGAGCAGCCAAACTCCTAAACACTTTGCTGCACCTAATTTCTTAGACTGTACATTTCAGCAGAGCCAAAAACAGAAAATGACCTCTGAGCTGCTCGTTTTTTTTTTTTTGATATTGATTTGATTTATTGTTGTCACGTGTACCTAGATATGATGAAAAGTTTTATTTTGCATGCAGTACAGGCATATCATACCATACAAAGTGCATTAGGGTAACAGAACAGAGTGAAGAATACAATGTTACAGCTGCAGAGAAGCTGCACAAAGAGCAAAAGTAACATTTAAATTTAAAATTTGAGAGGTCTATTCAGAAGTCTAATAATAATGGAAAAGAAGCTGTTCTTGACTCTGTTGGTTCATGTGTTTAAGCTTTTGTATCTTCTGCCTGATAGAAGAGGTTAGAAGAGAGTACAACCAGGGTGGGAGGTATCTTTGATTATGTTGGCTGCCTCCCGAGGCAGCGAGAACTGTAGATGGAGTCAGTGGATGGAAGGTTTGGCCAAAAGCTGAACCAGGCATTATAGGAATTGAACACATCTGAATTCTCACGTCCGATTCCTGAACATGCACCAATATTCAAGGCTATTGAAGACTCAAATACTTATTCTATATTGTGCTTCAATAATTGTTGCTAATAGCCAATGCTTTACACTTACACAACTTTGATTGCTTCTCCTAGGTACTTCACAATGTGGCGCTGGCACATGCCACGATGCAGAATTGGGACAAAGCTGAAGAGGCTCTAAAGAAAGCTATCACTTTTAAAACCGAGGCCAAGCCTAATTATGTGGATCAAGCTCTGGAATCTGCTTCGGTATTGATTTGATTCAAATGTGCTACATGTTCCCCTCCTCTTGTGTGCCCCCTGAACCTTCCATTCTGATTGTGCCGACATAACATAAGAACTAGGAGCAGGAGTAGGCCGTCTGGCCCTTCGAGCCTGCTCCACCATTCAATAAGATCATGGCTGATCCTTTCGTGGACTCGGATCCACTTACCCGCGTTCTCACCGTATCCCTTAATTCCTTTATTGTTCAAAAAAAATCTACCTTTTTTTAAAAAAACATTTACTGAAGTAGCATCAACTTCTTCACTGGGCAAGGAATTCCACAGATTAACAACCCTCTGGGTGAAGAAATTCCAAATCAGTTCAGTCATTGCCTGTCTACTAATCTGGCTGAATTTCTCAGAAAGCTTATTAAAGTGTGTAGTTTTGCTCGAGGGAAAATATCATTGTTTAGGTGTCAGTGATTCCCTGATCTTGTTAATGTGCATGATAAGAATCAACCAATACTAGGATAGGGGGTATTCTCAGCACAGCATCCACCCTCAAAATACATGGTAGCTGTGGGCAAATTCACCTGAAAGGCTCCAAAACGCTCAAGAAGAATCGATCGCAGGAGCAACCAATGACAGAATGATCATCCACGTATGTAGAATGGACAGACTTTCTGAGGAAATGCTCCTCCAATCACAGGCTCAATCTCTCTCACATTTACTGCTGACTGGCTCACCAGAAACCAATCAGCAGTAACCACAGGAGAGCAGCTCCGCTGATGCTGCTTGTCCTGCTGTGTATATCCAGCTCTACACCTTGTTATCACAGGAGAGAAGCAGCCTGGGATTGGAAGAGCAGTGAGACATTTAATTAATTTTTCTGAAGAGTCTAGGTTGGAAACGTCAGCTTTCCTGCACCTCTGATGCTGCTTGGCGTGCTGTGTTCATCCAACTCTACACCTTGTTATCTTAGACATTTAATTGTCACAGTTAGTAAGGTTACTGGACTAGAGGAAGCAAGGCCCAGAGAGGGGAAGTAGTGAGATTTAGGGAACCTGGTGTGTTGGAGGGAGGCAGGGGGAAATGGAGTGAGCCCATAAAGTGGAGTTGTGAATAGGGGTGATGTGGGAGCCAGGAGAAGAGAAGAGGGATTGTGGGAAGTGGAGATAGCAGTTTTAAAACTATCAACAAAGGAATGATGGATGTTGTTCCAACTGGTTCATTTGATATTAGTTAAGACATAATCATAGGCTTCATTAACATGCAGGAATGACAAGAATGAAAATTACTTGCTGGGTTTGTAAGCGATGCTAGTTAAACATTACTGAGAGATTTTATATCTTGCATTGAATGATAAAAATGACAATTTGGTTATGGAAATATAAGTGAAAATAAACTTTGGAAGAGCTAAAAGCAATTCCTCTCACAGGGATTCCAAAACTAGAGGGCACAGGTTTTATGGCGAGAGGGGAAAGATTTAAAAGGAACCTAATGGGCAATGTTATCATGCAGAGGGTGGTGCATGTATGGAATGAGCTGCCAGAGGAAGTGGTGGAGGCTGGTACAATTACAACATTTAGAAGGCATTTGGATGGGTATATGAATAGGAAGGGGTTAGAGGGATATGGGCCAAATGCTGGCAAATAGGACTAGATTTATATAGGATATCTGGTCAGCACGACAGTGCATCTTTTCAAAACTGTCTCCAGCATATAGTTGGGAGGTATGCTGTATTTCTTGCCACATGTTGTCTGGATCTAAACCTGATTCCAATTCACAGAAACGGGAGCTGTTTCAACTCTTGGAGCTCCCAGCAGGAGAACTCTTCAGACCAAAGAGGAAAATAGTGGCCCAGCTGGAAAAGCAGGACTTCCTGGGAGAGGCCAAGGTACTGATTCCTTTCTTTATAAACAAACAGAATGGAATGATCATCAGATTTATGGGAACTTCATTATCAAGAGATTTGCTCAGCAGAGCTTCAGTCCACTGCAGTGAAAATCAGATATGCTGAGGCTGATCTTAAACTCTCTCGTTTAGAAGAAAACAAAGAAACTGGAGGTTTGTAGTCTCATCCAAAAATAGGTAAGGCTTGAGAACCCTTTTGAAAGTTGATGACTAAGGGTATGTCAAGTTCAAAACTGTTCAGGGTTGGGAGATAGAGAGAGTAAGAGGGCAGGGCCATTGCTTCAACTCTGAGGCATATCCTGCTGGTGATTGTGGCGAGATGCTGTCTGCGCTGTTGTTAGTGAACATTAACAGGCTTTATGAAACATAACTACAAAAACAAGAATTGTAAGAGAAGACATCTTCTGCCTCAGACTCCAGGCCCATCTGATCTGACATCATTCCACATGGTTCCTTTTGTACATGCTCAGTCGCTATTCTTAAAATAAACTTTATTACACAGCAATTAAATTCTTAACCTGACTAATGAACATACCCTTATCACAAGATACAAAAGTTACTGCAAAATATTTATTTAAAAATCCAGACTGTGTTTATGTATTTCTGGATGATTGCTGAAAACCTGGAGTTACGGCACCACAAAGTTGGCAGATGGTAACAATTTGAGACAGCTGGATACTGTGAAATAACCTCTTCATCGTCATTTGCTGTCGTTCCTTTTACGAGCATTTTTTAAACTCCTGCATTTGCAGATTATGCTTCATTTTGCCTGGAAAGAGTGAGGTTGTTTAATGTTGTTAGTCCCTTGCAAAGATACTCTTATACAGGTCAACAGGGATTAAATGGGTGATCAAGAATGATTTTCTCTGAGACAGGCCATTCCATGACTTTAAGGGGAAACTGGATCATTATTAGAAGCAGAGGAAAATACATTGCAGTTGAGAAAGAGCCAGCGAAAAGGGATTTGTATAGATTGTTTGATTGTAGAGTGCAGTCATGCACAGTGGACTGATAGTCTCATTCTGTGCTGGTGTGGTTCGATAGGAGTGTGCTGGCCCACACTGGCATAGCTCCCATGGTGACTAAGGTCTGAAAAGTAACTGCCGATAATTCTAACTTTGTGTAATAAAACAAGTTACAGTGACTCAACATTCTGTTCTACATTTCTTACAACTTTTACTTCTGTTGATTCAATTGCAGTAAAAGATCAGGACAGAAATGGTGGCACGGTGGCTCAGTGGTTAGCACTGCTGCCTCACAGCACTAGGGACCCGAGTTCCATTCCACCCTTGGCCGACTGTCTGTGCGGAGTTTGCACATTCTCCCCGTGTCTGCGTGGGTTTCCTCTGGGTGCTCCGGTTTCCTCCCACAGTCCAAAGATGTGCAGGCTAGGTGGATTGGCCGTGCTAAATTGCCCATAGTGTTCAGGGATGTGTACGTTAGGTGGGTTATAGAGGGATCGATCTGGATCGATCTCCAAGGGTCGGTATGGGCTTGTTGGGCCAAAGGGCCTGTTTCCACACTGTAGGGATTCTATTTGAAAAAAAAGTGAAGAATGTTGCTGAGTCACTCTCAGTTAAACTTAGTTATGTTGTGTGGAGCATGCAGAGTCCATTACTGTAGTGACCAAGTCCACCATCCATGACTCCTCCGGATACAGAAGCAACCCAAGTCCAAATGCAGCACGAGCCTGACAATATCCAGGAGAAACTCCGCAAATCCAATAGCTTCTGTGGAGAGAGATATCGAGTCAATGTTTCAGGACAAATATGACTTCTTCTGACAACTGGAAATGTTAACTCTGTTTCTCTCTCCACAACTGCTGCCGGACTTTGAGTTTCTCCAGCACTTTATGTTTTTAATTTAGATTTCTATAGTTCACAGTACTTAGCTTTTTTTTAGTAGACAATATCCAGTCTTGGGTTAACAATGTCAAGTAATGGGTGTACCACAAGACCAGGCAATAACCATTTCCAGCAAGAGGGAATCTAACAGTCACTGCTTGACACTCTATGGCATTCCCCCTGGTAAATAAGTGTATGGTTATTAATTAAGTCAGCATTGTTTAGATTGTTGACTTGACAGGACATTCCACCAGCATTCAGAGATGTCAGATTGATTGCAGTTGCTTTGCTTTTGCTTGCATTCTAGGTGGTAGCATCAATCATCGACAAAGATGCATTCTCTGGTTTCGCTCCCCTGCAGCCTCAGGTACATTTCACTTTATAAAATTGGTTAAAGGAAATGCAATGAATACCTGGTTTAGACAAGAGGTATTAATTACATAAATTAGTCTCTTGTTTTCAGACTGTAAATTTGCCATAATCTTACCAGATCATACAGCTGCTCCCTCATTAGAGGGGGACAACTGATAGTGTTTTATCCTGAGGGTCACCATGCCTCAGGTGAAGAGAGAGGTTAGAGAGTCCTTCACAATAACCTCAGTCAGTGCAGAAAGTGAACCCACGCTGTTGGCATCACTCTGCATTGCAAACCAGATGCCCAGCCAACTAAGCTAACCAACCCCGAGTGTGTAGACTTAATGCAAAAGTTATTTTTGTTGGAAATATGAGCCCCAAAATGTCTTTAATGGTACAGTCTATATACATAGGAAATGAATTTTGAATTGGCCAGTTCCACTGATTCACTGAACCACTGTGAATCTACCCATTTTGCCTGTCAGAAATTCTATTAGTTTTGAGGCCTGATGTATATTAGCAAAACTGATTTACAATTAATCAACTCTAAGATCTCAAAATGGAATAATGCTCCACAATTTGTTGTCGTATTGAATTTAATGGCTGCTGAATTAGTTAGATATTAAAAAATATTTTATTTCATAAGTTCCTGAAAGTGCAACTGGATGAGGTTAAAGTGAGAGTGAAAACTGGCTTTGGAAACCCAACTGAACTGCGCAAGCGATTATATATCTTCGCAGAGTGAAAGATGGGGAAGAAAACAGTGCAGGAATTGAAAAGGAAGTCTAAGGTAATTTGGGTAAATTCGTTGCCAGAACAGGTACAGAAAGAAGAATAAACAAAGGGGAAAAAATGGATTAAGAGAGACATGATATAAAGAACTAGAAATAAAAAATAAGAAAAAAACTACATTTTAAAATCTCCAAAAATTAAAACATGAAAGAATGAGAATCTATACTAATACTAGTTTTTGATGCCACAAAGATTATTTGACAGTAAGTAAATATATCCTATCATTTCAATGCACCCTTGGTCTGGAATGGGCAAGGCTCAATCTTTTAGTGACGTTAATTGTACACTGTGTAACTACAACAACTTCATACAAATCAATGATGAGGTAAGCGTTGAGATATTGTTTCAGCAAAGCTAATGGGAGAGCAGCATAATTCTGAATGGTGACTCTCATCTGAAGTTGTCTGTGCAAATAGCTGAGAGTGCCCATTAGCCCCGTCATAATAGTGACAGGAAAATCTGGGGAGCTGCGTCATTTTACTATACATTTTCTAATGGAAAAAATAGATAATTCTTAAAATTATAAATATTGTGCTACTTTTATTGATCAATTATAAGTTTCTGTAGCTAGTTATAGATTTATGCATCAACTAGAACTTTGATAGCTTTTTAGATTTCTAGCCCTTCCTTTTTCCTCCTGTGTTTATTTCATATTGCTGATTCACTTTCATAATCATTCTCACTCTTTCTCGAATTGATGGTGTCTGTGAGACACCTAACTCTCTGAGCCAGCGTAGGTCTGCTGCTGTCTGATATCTAATGCTTTGCATTTGTCACTCATAGCTCAGTTTTTTTTTCCTCTTGGTTTACGGCATATTCAGAGACTCACTGCTCCAAAAAATTTCACCAGCCACATACTGCCTGAACTTTAAAAGAACAGAAGCAGTCGTGATCTAGTTGAATGGTGAAGCAGCCTCAATGGACCGAATGGCACAGAAATGCTCCAATTTCCCATGTTGTTGAGTTTTGGATATAAAGAAAGGCAGGAGTTTGTAACAATGTACACATTTTTGTTTTCTCTTTCCATTTCTGTTCTTGATAGCAGTGACTCATAGCAGAGTGCAGTCCAACATGAAGCTGTGGTATATCATACCTCCTTTGTGAGTGTGCCTCATCAGTGCCACTGGTCGATTAATCTATAGGATCCACCATAGTCAAGCCTACTCCAACAGCCAAACACATTAATGTTCAGTCAGCAGTAATAATAAATGGAGATCCTGGCTGATTACCTTTTCCTCCACTCTCCATCTCTAATTTTGAGCTAGGAATTCCTCTTTACTGTTGTCCTTGATAAGGCCAGTTAGGATATTGCTGTCCCTGCTTTCTTAGTCAGGTTCAATGAGTACTCCACAATTAAAATCTTAGAAATTAAAGTTATCTTGTGAGTTCGCAGGTCATATCATTCCAGATTATCTTCAATAATTAGCAAAATACAAATATTCCAAATCAGACCTGAATACTTTGATTGCCTTGCTTAACAAGAATCTATCCACCTCTATGTTAAAGTATTCAATGACCCCGTGCTTGACCGACTTCTGTGGAAGAGAATTCCAGAGTTTCACAGCCGTCTGATTTTCCGATTTTCCCCCCATCTCTGTCCTAGAAGTGCATCCCTAAGACCCTTCAGGATCTTGTACATTTCAATCAAATTGCCCTATGCACTTCTGAACTCTAATAAAATCAAGCCCAATTGGTCTAATCTTTCCTTATAAGATAACTTGCTCATTTGAGGATTAATCTAGTAAACCTCCTCTGATCCTCCAGTGCATGTCTATCTTTCCTTAAATAAGGAGACCAAAACTCCATACAATAGTCTAGGTATGGTCTCGCCAATGCTCTGTAAAACTGAAGCATAATATTTCCTCTTTTGTATAATTAATTAATGCACATCCTTTAGATCTTTCTCTCATGCACCTTGATAATTCATCTTACCAGTTCAGGGGTGTTATCACAAACCTCTGGATCAAGTGGTACTTGAACCCAGGCCTCACGGTCCAGGGGTAGGAACACTACTACTGCACTACAAGAGGGCCTGTTCCTTTTATTCAGTGCATTGACTGGTGTTTCCAGCACTTTAATGGGATATTTTATTCCAATTGAATTAACAGGCACCGGACCATACTCCTGAAAAGAAAGCGCCAGAAAAATTCAAGTAAGTGAATCCTATTCATTGATTTATGTTACTTGGAGTTCCAACCAGCATTTAGATGTGTTTACTGAATGGCCTCCATCAGGAAGAATGCCCATGTGTATTTATCTGGATGATATGTGACTGCTGTGAGTTAAGGAAACATTCACGCTGTTCTGGACGTAATGCAAACTATAGAATGAAGATCCACAGATGAGCCAGTAATTACTGCCACTGTTGAGCACAGTCTTAATGACTGGCTTCATGTCACAGTTATTTTTCCTGAATTTGTACTGTTTGTTCAGTTCCAGATAGTCAGACTGTACAGGCTAGAATTGGAGCTTAATCCTTACACATTTCAAAGCTTCCATTTACAGAGATGCACATTGCAAACAAATACCTCCAAACCCAACAGCTACTCGGGGCTGAAGTGCAAATTGAACACAAAATGATTAATGCCCATCACCTGAATTCAATTGTTGTATAATTAACATTGCCTTTGCTGTTATTGTATTCTTTGTGTCCAAAAAGACCATTCATACATCCCAGATGTCCTCGTTTTTCAAGGACCGCAACTTCCCCTCCACAGTGGTCAAAAACGCCCTCGACCGCATCTCTAGCGTTTCCCGCAACTCATCCCTCACACCCCCTCCCTGCAATAACAACCAAAACAGAATGCCCCTCGTCCTTACGTACCACCCCACCAACCTCCGGATCCAACGCATCACCCTCCGCCACTTCCGCCACCTGCAATCTGACCCCACTACCAAGGACATTTTTCCCTCTCCACCCTTATCACCGCTCTATCCGTGACTCCCTTGTCCGCTCTACACTCCCCACCAGCCCCACCATCCCTGGCACTTTTCCCTGCAACCGCAGGAAGTGCTACACCTGCACCTACACCTCCCCCCTCACCCCCATCCCAGGCCCCAAGAAAACCTTCCACATTAGCAGATGTGCAGGTGAACATCTGTTTAATGTGGTATACTGTATCCACTGTTCCCGTTGTGGCCTCCTCTGCATCGGCGAAACCAAGTCGAGGCTTGGAGACCGCTTTGTGGAACACTTACGCTCGGTTCGCACTAAACAACTGCACCTCCCAGTCGCCAGCCTTTCAACTCCCAATCCCACTCCTCAGACGACATGTCCATCCTGGGCCTCCTGCATTGCCACAACAATGCCACCCGCAGTTTGCAAAAACGGCACCTCATATTTCGCTTGGGAACCCTGCAGCCCAATGTGGACTTCACAAGCTTCAAAATATCCCCTCCCCCGACTGCATCCCAAAACCAGCCCAGCTCATCCCCACCTCCCTAACCTGTCCGTCCTTTCTCCCACCTATCCTCTCCTCCCACCTTAATCCCCACCCCCACCTCCTACCTATCAGCCCCATCCTGCCTCCTTGACCTGTCCATCTTCCCTTGACTGACCTACCCCCATCCTAACTCCCCACCTACACTCACCTTTACTGGCTCCACCCCCGCCTCTTTGACCTGTCCGTCTCCTCTCCACCAATCTGCTCCTTTATCCACCTTCCATCCACCTCCCCCTTTCTCTCTCTTTATTTCAGAATCCCCTTTTCCTCCCCCATTTCTGAAGAAGGATCCAGAGCTGAAACGTCAGCTTTCCTGCTCCTCTGATGCTGCTTGGCCTGCTGTGTACATCCAGCTCTACACCTTGTTACCCCATTCATACCTTCCACAGATCATGTACAATCTGTCCCTTTGTGATTTGCGTTTCTTCCATTCATAATCACACACAAGAACAGTCACTCATTCTGAATTATACCCCTGCCTGTTGGGTCCTACTTGCCCTGATTTCCAGTGGCAGTGTAACAACTATGTGCTGTGGAGAAATGTGAGCATTGCAGTTCAGCTCTGTTGTCATTCAAAAACTATTATATGGACTCAGTTGTGGAAGCACTTTTGCCTCTGAGTCATAAGGTTCCAGGTTCAAGACCCATTCCAGAGCTTGAGGGAGTGACCTTTGTTGTAGATGCTGTCTTATGGACGGTACAGGGCCTGAGCTGTCTGTGTAATTGGGTGTGAAAAATACCAAGCCAGTATTTCAAAGAAGAGCAGGTTGGCATTGCCTTGTTGTCCTGGCCAATTAATTCCTCTATCTACATCACAAAGAACCGGATTATCTGATCATTATTAGTTACTAATTTTAGCCTCTTCCTGGAGGTTTGTTCATCTGCCTTCTTGAGACAGGGTATGGGTGACAAGCAGAAATCTATCTTTTAGTAAATGTAATAACATAACAATACCTTGGAAATTTGACATTGTGCATGGCATAGCATAGGAGTTAATAGAATCCCTACAGTGTGGAAGCAGGCCATTCAGCTCATACTGACCCTCTGAAAAGTATCCCATCCAGACCCACACCCCCTACTTTATCCCTGTAACCCCACATATCCCATGTCTTACTTACCTAGCCTGCATGTCCCTGCACACAATGACCGATTTCGCATGGCCAATTCACCTAACCTGCACATTTTTTGGACTGTGGGTGGAAACCGGAGGAAACCCATGCAGACACTGGGAGAATGTGCAAACTCCACACAGACAGTCGCCTGAGGGTGGAATAGAACCCAGGACCCTGGCGCCGTGAGGCAGCTGCGCTGACCACTGAGCCATCGTGCCATCCCGTGATGCTGGTCCAATGGCATCTTAATGAATTATCCAGATAAACTGCTTAAAACATTATGAAATTAATGACAATAATGATGTCTTAGACTGGATAAAAGATATGAAGACAACACAAAGGAATCTGACTTCAAATTTCCTAAATATCTTCTTGCCCACAGGACACTGGAAGGTGTACCTCACCGGGTGTTGTTTAATTTCCTCCCAAGTAACAAACAAGAGCTGGAGGTAAAGTGTGGAAATATAGTCTTCGTGCTGAAGAAAGGAGAGGACAACTGGGCCAGAGTTACATTCAACAATGAGGCAAGTCGTGTTCATCCACCAGAGCACTTCTCAAGCAAATCGACGAGTGACTGAATAAAACCACAGGGTTGCAGATGACTAACCAGCGGCTGTGGAATCACATTCCAGATTCTCTCATTGCAATAATATTTTAGTGGCTTTCTGATGGAGTCATGGCCTGGTATCTGATGACATTTACAGCAACCCTTTGATGTTTTGTTTTTGATGGGAAGCAGCGCCATACCGTAGGCTCCTACATCGAGCACTGTGGGTTACTCTTGGGGAGCTGGCATTGTCCACAATGTGCAAAATAGTAAGATAAGATCAAAGCAAAATTGCAACTATGTCATTTCATTGCTTAGCCCTGATAAGGTACAAAGGTTAAATACCAGAGATTGTCCCACCATTCTTGAGGACTCAGGCGCAAGGGAAAAAAAATTGTGTAACAGTTAACAAAAGAAAACAAATCCTTGTAACCTAGCTCATTCTAAATATTGTACGTTTGTGAGTGACCAGGGCTTTCCTGAAATTCAGCAAATTATATTTCCCATCAAAGTGCCCTGCCCTTTGGACAGTGACACAACCCACAGCCTGGTGATCAACTGGAGGAGACTGCAAGCCTCAAAGGTTTGTTGTAAATATTTGGCAATTCTCAGCATTTGGCAACTGGGCCTCTGAAATGGACATTGTTTCCCTTCTTTGGTCTCCTGGTTTTTGGAACATGTCATGAGAAATCATGAGCAAAAATACTTAAATACGTATGACTTCTTTAAGAGAAATACAGTCACTTAAGAATTTGATAGTGACATCATGTATGTTGGATAATCTGAAATATGTGATGAAATATCCACACCTCAGTGTAGTGTAAGCACCTGTGTCTGACCTGTTGCTGAAATGGCTTCTGTGCAAGGAAAAGGTGATAGATTTGTTGTACCAGCCTCTGGTGTATTTTATACAAGCGTTGTTACCATATTTTCTGATCCTCTTCTGGTTCCCTTCGCCATCTAGTGACTCTACTGAGAACTACCCAAACTGAGGCTGCTTCTCTTGCAATTCTCAATTTCATTTTGGGTTTGGGTGACACCCCTATTTCGGGTTATGGCATTCTGAATTTGGAGTTCCAGAACTATTGAATAGTTACTGTCAGCCCTCACTGTGCAAGCCTGATCATGTAACTGCATGGTACAGGGCCCAAGAAAACTACTGCTATTTTTTTGAACTTATTCGATGGAATGTGGGTGTCACTGGCTGGCCATCATTTATTGGCCACTCCTAAATACCCTTGAGAAGGTGGTGGTGAGCTGCCTTCCTGAGCTACTACAGTCCATAAGAAGTAGGAGTACCTGTAGTATCTTTGGGCAGGGAATTCCAGGATTCTGAACCAGCAACACTGAAGTAATGATGATATAGTTCCAAGTCAGGGTTGTGTGTGGCTTGGAGGGGTATGTGCAAGTAGTGGTGTTCCCATGTATCTGTCCTTATAGGTGGTAGAGGTCATGGATTTGGAAGGTCAAAGGAGCATTGATAAGTTGCTGCAGTGCATCTTGTGGATAGTACGCTCTACTGCCACAGTGTATTGATGAAAGGAGTAAATGTTGGAAGGCTGAATGGGGTGTCAGTCAAGAAGACTTTGTCTGGATTGTGTCAAGCTTTGAGTGTTGTTGGAGCTGCATCTATGCAAGAAAATGCAGCCAACTTCATCATTGAGATGATGGACAGACACTAAGGAGACATGAGTGAGTTACTCACTTCAGAATTCCATCCAATCATCTGTTCTTGTAAGTCTGATATTTATAAATGTTTTTAATCAACCTGTAGAACAGGTGGGCCTTCTAGAACATCACCACTGTGTCACAAGAGCTGTCTCCAGTATTTATGTAGCTAGTATAATTCAGTTTCTGGACAGTGGAAATTCCCAGGTTGTTGACCATGGGAGATTCAGTGATGGTCATGCCATTGAATATCATATGGGGATGTGGAGGTAAATTCTCTGGTGTAGATAGTCAGTGCCTGGCACAGATGTTGCTACTTGTTCATCCAGACCTGAATATTGTCCCAGTCTTACTACAAAAACATCATTTCAACAAAATGTGTTTGCAAATACAGCAGCTTTGGTAGAACTATGGGACAATAATCCCTGTCTTTCCTCTTGAGCATTCAACTGATTTTCACTCTTTAACATTTGAATTCAAATGTAGGGTTACATTGGACATGATTTTATAATATTCACATGCTTGGATTTGTTATGGTAGTTTTTTTCTGTCTTTTTTGTCACTTTTGACAGAAATGGTGATGCTAAAACTTATTTCTGGTTGTTCAGGTGAGTAAATCTATCATGGTTTAGTTTGGTCTCTGAGTGATGCTCTTTGACTATAGACATTTCCTAACTGAGTTTTATTTTGGTTGTTAGATTGGCTTGGTTCCCTATAACTACTTGGAGCCACTGGAAGCTGAAAAGGTAAAGCTGTGTGTGAGATGTTTATACAAGTAACAATCTGTTCTGTTTGATGCAGAAAATAAAACTTCCCAATTCTTTTGAGAAGCTCAGCTGCTGTCCATTCAGAATCGGAAAGTGCAATATTCAATCCCTGCTTCTTGCTGGTTATATTTCAGGTTGTGGTAAGAGCTGTATAATCAGATTCAGTGCATCTGGGTTCAGTAATACGAACAATCAGTCTGCATCACAACCCCAAATGCTGTCTGCTTAGCAGTGCATGTGTGTGACTGTGCTGCCTTTGTGGTCTTCCTCCTTGGAAACTCTTCTCTCAGAGGGAGTGAATCTGTGGAATCCTTTACCACAGAGGGCTATCAGGTCAAGTATATTCAAGGCTGAGCCAGATTCTTAAACAGTAAGGCAATCAGGGATTATGGGGAAAAGGCAGGAAAATGGAGCTGAGAAGTATCAGATCGGCTATGATCTCATTGAATAGCAAAGCAGACTCAATGACCAAAAGGCCTCCTGTTCCTACATCTTCTGGTCTTAATGGATTTGCAAAAGCAGAAAGACCCAGGTGTCCATGTAAATAAGTCATTAAATGTAACAAGACAGGTGGAGAGTGCTGTTAATAAAGCATACAGTATTCTAGGCTTCATAAATAGGGGCGTAGAGCAGGACGGTTATGATGAACTTGTTGAAGGCACTGATTAGACCTTAGGTGCAGAATTGTTTTCAGTTCTGGGCACCATGCTATAGTAAGGATTGGACAGAGTGCAAAAGTGGTTTACGAGACTGATTCCAGGGATTAGATAATTAATGTATGAGAAGTTGGGACTGTTTTCCTTGGAGAGGAGAAGACTAAGAGGAGATCTGAAACAAGTATTCGAAATCATGATGTGTCTGGACGAGTGAATGGGGAGAAACTAGTAAATGGATCCAGAATCAATGGTTATGGGTTGAAAGTGGTTTGTAAAAGAAATAAATGTGAAGGGAGAAAACTCTCTTTTTAACGCAGTGAGTAGTTAGGGTATAGAATGCACTACCTAATGGTGTAGTGGAAACAGGCTCAATTGAGGTATTGAAGAGGGCATCAGCTGATTATTTAAATGGAAACAATGGGATGCTTACAGGAACAGGCAAGGGATTTGCAGGATTAAATCTAGGATTTTCTGATTTTTATATTTGTATAGAACTTAACTTAAAAGTGAGCTGTGTGATTTATTTTGTTAATTTAGTTTAGAAAACAATCCTATTTTGGGTAATGTACAAAGAACACAGCCCACCGCCCGCCCGCCCCAAGAGATAACATTTCTTGTGTCATTCTTGACTAGGGTGAAAAATCCCCCCCTGCTGATATTCCAGCACCACCGACCGCATCCGCTCCGGAAAGACCAGCCATTGTTCAAGGTGAGCAGTTTCAACACGTCATCAAATAGCAGGACTGTAACTGCATCAGCTTGATGTTATAAATAGTTGTTGGAAGGTATGGAACTTGCATATTGCTGATAGACACATTTATCTAGCTTTTTATCTTGCATTCATCAGGATATTTTGCAAGAATACAAATTCAAGGTAGACTCAGATTCTTGCCACACAGAATGCACCCATTCATGCTCCTTGACAGTTAACAACCAGATTTTGTAAAATTTTAAACCTGGCAGGTTGATCTGATTGATCAGTGCATTGCTCTGAGAAATGAACCAGCCAAAGGCTGTCACCTGTTTTGTTGAGTTGAAATGGGTACAGTGTGCGTAAGTTTCCTTCCTAGCTGCTTATCTATTAATATATGTAGTTTCCAGTATTCTCAAGTGTACCACACTGTGAACCCAGTTGTCAATTGGGCAACACCTTTACCAATCAGCAGCCTCCTCTCATGTGGTATAAATGTTGGTTTACCCCTTAATTTGTATTCTTGCAAAATGTCCTGATCAGTACAAGATGAAAAACTTCAACAAAATGTCTTTTTTTTAAGCAGTAATAAGTTAAAGACTTAACAAATCATACGAAATGTGAAGAACAAAATGGCCAAAAGTCTCTAAGGAATTAAATCTGTGAGGTTCAGTGCATTCTAACAATGACTTACAGCACTGTGTGGATACAGCTTTCAGCCTTATTGTAGTGGAAATGTGTTGAATGTATGCCAGGCCAGCTCTCATCCATTGGAGCTGAGAAATACCTCGCAACATTCCAAGTGAAATTGGACAAATACCTGATGCAAAACTATTTGCATTTTATAGCTGATTCAAGGAAATAGATGGCTGCTGTCCTGTTGGCTGATGATGAAGCAGAATTGGTTATGGCCATCGATGAGTAAAGCCTAGAGTGCACTAAACTTTGAGTGACCTGGCAATGAGTAATCACAATTGAGAAAATAATGTATTTAATTTAAAACATCGGGTGCACTGATAGGAGTTAAATTTACAGAAATGAATTTGTTCATCTTTCAGATGAGAATGTACACACCAATACAAGCCAGCAGGTGACAGAATCTTCAAAAAAGGTACAGGTAAAGGGGATGTTAGGGATTATGGAAAATACAGAACAAGTCATTCATTTATTTTATAACCTTACTATAATTCTTAAAGTACTTCATGCACAACAGAAGCCATAGTGTGTTATGTAGCAAAGGTTATAATCATTGTCTGGACTAGAAAAAACAACTTATAGTTAAGAGAGAAATGGTACTTGGTGTTGTTATGAAGGTACAAGTTAGGAACAGAAGAAGGCCATTCAGCCCTTCAAGCCTGCTCCATCTTTTAATAAGATCTGATTGTAACCTCAAGACCACATTTCCGGCTACCCCGATAACCCTTTGCTTATAATAACTAACTATCTCTGCCATAAAAATATTAAAGACTTCGCATCCTTTTAAGGAATAGAGTTCCAAACACTGTCAATCCTCCGTGAGAACTTTTTTGTCCCATCTTTATCTTAAGTAGGTGAACCATTTATTTTTAGTATCAGTCCCCATATCTAGATTCTCCCACAAGGGGAAAACATCCTTTCTATATTGACCCTGTCAGGTCTATCGAGAATTTTATGTCTCAGTCCAGCTCTTTCTCTTCTAAACCCCAGTGGATACAAGCCTAGCCTGTCCAACATTTTCCTGGAAGACAAGCTGACAGTTCCAAGTGTACGTCAAACAAACATCTATAGTATTTACATCCTTCCTAAAATAAAAATGAGATCATTAATTTGCACAGTGTTCCAGATGTAATCTCACCAGTGCCCTGTAAAAATGAAGTGTAATCTCCCTACTTTTGTATTCTGTGATTTTTGTTCTGAGGAGGAATGCTGGCCATGATACAAGGAAGAACTGCCGCTTTTCTTTCTATAGAGCAGTGGGACTTGAATACATATGAACTAATGAAATGCACAGTCAGAGCCTTGTTTCAATATTGTAACTGAAGGCAAACATCTCCAAACTAGCACTCTGTAATTTGTTATCCTGGAGTAGCTCAGATTATGCACTGAAGTTCCAGAGTGAGACTTCAACTTAAATCTACTACTGTAAAATTGCTACCAATTACATCTGCACAATGACAAATACAAAAGTTGAATCTTAATTTCACACTGGTATAACGATGTGGCAATTTCTTTGAAAATTGCAAGTAGGGTTTCTCATGCTTTTGAGAAGCAAAAAGAGTGCTCATTTCATACGTATCTGAATCATTTCACAGATCCTTACGCTCTGAAAATATTAATATATAAAGAGGATTATGCATGCTGTAAAGGGAAAATGGTTTTATTTTGATCTGAATTTTTCTTAAAACCTATATGTGCTTGTGGTGGGGTGTGGTTAACAGGATGCTCTCTCATTTTCTGTCTAAAGTGGTCATGTGACAGCTGCTTGCGTCATGGAAGTCCTGGTAGTGAAGATTTTCCCATGGTCCAGTTAGGAAAGGCGTGTGACCCAGTGATGATCAAGCAATGCTGAAGCAAAATATTGCAGATGCTGGGTATCAGTCATAAAGGCAGGAAACGTTAGAAATACTCAGTTGGTCAAGCAACGACTGTGGAGAGGAAGAGAGTTAACTGTTTCAGCATTGTGCTGTTTTATCAACATTTTGATGAGTGCAGCTCATGACTTTCTTTTCAATGAGCTTAACTGAATTTCTTCAACAATAATTTTCTTGACAAGTCCAGGTTCAGCTGTCCTAATTTTGGGACAAATCCCCCAATACTAGTGAGGAGAATTTTGTAGGTTCAGCAAGGCCTTTGTTGTTTTTTTGGTGCCTTGGTCAATACTAGGCTATTTTTATTCTTCAACTTTTCTGCAGTATTTTGAGACATCTGAGTGACTTGCCTGGTTATTGCAGAGGACAGATAAGAATCAGCCACATTAACTTGAGACTGAAGTCACACGTAGGCCAGATTGGGTAAGGCTGGCCCTTGTTATACATGCTTTATCTCAATTGTGGAATAACACTAGATGAAGAAATGCAATTATTCTTAGAAATCAGTGAGGACACGACTTTCTGTAGTAATCCTGCTGATTTTTCTGACTTGTGTAATCTAAAATGTCACCAATCTGCAATTTTCATCCTTGTGAAACAGAACAAAGATCACTCGGTGCCTGTACCTTCCATTGTTAAAGTGCACTTCAAGTACACAGTAGCTATACGTGTGAAACCAGGGCTGTCACATAATGAGCTGTTGGCTGTTATCAGTAAGAAGTTTCAAATACCTGAGGAAAGACTTGGATTAAGGTATGAGTGATATTTTATATTTTTAACGCTGTCATAAAAATGCTTTATTTTCACATTGAATTCATTATTTATTTAATTTTTGCACTTGTCAGTTGAAATATTATAACTTATTCAGGTTTGACACTGCTGAGAAGCAAAGCAAAACATTTCTACACTAGTGTGCCCAACTCTGATCTTCCCCAGCACCGACACCACATTCACACTCTAAACCACTTGGTAACTTGAGCAGCACTGTCAATTAATTTCAAGATTGATTTGCACTATCGATGCCTATCTGAAATTGCATTGAGCATGTCCAAGCCATTTCAGCTTAATTATTATAGTAAAGAAAAGAAAGAATTGTTTGGTTTCAAATCCAGAGGTGAAAGGACAGTGTACTCATTCACTGCATAACCAAAGAACCAAAACAAACTGCATTTAACCTAAACTTACTTATAGTGAACAACATTTAACACGTTAAAAAGATACATCCATCAAATTAATAACTTCTTACAGTAGTTTGAGAGTTGTTTGTATCCTGACATGATTTACTATTGGGTACCTTTTCTTACACAAGCAATTTGAACTTGAATCATTTATTGGTAAGTTTCTGCAAGTGCTCCTGATCCACCATTGCTTTTGTTTGAATTTAATCTATTTTTCGAATCAACTTGTTCAGAAGTGTTATTATATACCTCTGGAGCAGGTGGGATTTGAACCTGGGTCACCCAGTTCATGGGTAGGGACACGAGCAGTGCACCACACAAGGTCCCAATGTTACTTCACCTAAGATGCAGCAGGAGGAATATGCATAATCAAAATCATGCTTCTGGTGAAATTATGATAGCAAAGTGGAAGCAACTTGAAGTAAGTTCTCAGCTATTGCCGATGTCAATATTGTTCAAAGCTTACGAAGAGATATGGATTTTTTTTCTGGGATGTGGAGGTCGGGCAAAAGTAGAGGCAGTAAAGATCACTGAAAAGAGGGCTAACTCTAAACAATTACTGACCATGAAATGAGTCTGAAATATCAGTAAATATTGGTACAGTATTGTACATAGAGAATGTTATCATGGTCAGTTTTGTGACTCTTTCATTGTGAAAATATGCTGCTCCCTTACATAGTTCATGTTAAGTCTATGAATCTTTTTTCAAAACAGCCCATCACATTTCTATTGCATGAAGATTAAAGACTGAAGACAAAATGATGCCAACTGTTAGTCACCATGCAATGAAAATTATGTAAAATGCTAATCTATTACGAAGAACAAGCCTTTTTAATTTGTTCATGGGATGTGGGCATTTCTGGCTAGGCCAGCATTTATTGCCCATCTCTAATTGTCCAGAAAGTAGTTAAGTGTCAACCATATTACTTTGGGTCTGAAGTCACATGTAGGCTAGACTGAGTAAGGATGGCTGATCCCCTTTCAGAAGGGACATAAGTGAACCACATGGGTTTTTATAACAACTGGCAGTTGTTATTTACGTGTTTTCCACTACGCTGGTTACACAATGGAATGGCCCACTCCTATTCCAGATCAATTTTATAAACATGTGTATAACACAAAAGCATCAACATAATTGCTGATTCGGGTGATCTAACTTACTTTTTTTCTTGGATTATTCATTTACATTGCTGGTCAGTCAAAATAATATTTTGAAGGGCACTTTCAGTGCTTTTTATCAGATATTTAGGTAATATAGTTTATAACAGTGTGCACCTGAATTTTCACTGGTTCCACATGAAGAACTCAAAGCCCACTAAAAGGCATCTCCTGTTTGGCTTGGACAGTAATCACTGTCCTGCTGCTGCCTCTGTTATTAATTAGCACTGGCTTGTAACAGCTTGATGATTTAGATTGAACACTCCAATTAGGTATTAAAGCAAATTACTTGATTTTGAACTGTTGGTCATAATTTGGTAAGCATGTCAATCACTGTTTCATAAAGTTCCACATACTATTAATAATGGTTCTTTAACCTATTTTTTTGAATGCAATTGCTTACTTTTATTATTTTTAGTCTTTGACAAAATTTCCAATACCTATAAAAGCTGAAGAACATCAGGATACTAAAATTAGGACGAAGGAGTTCTTGTGGTATAGTGGTAATGACCCTGCCTCTGTACCAGGAGACCCAGGTACAAGTCTCACCTGGGTCCAGAGGTATGTAATAACATCTCTAAACAGGTCGATGAGAAAATATCTACCAATATTGGGATTAAGTTAACCATATACCCTACTTAAGAGGAGAGATATACAGATATGTTTAATCCCTTTGGGTGAAGTTGGGGTTGCATGTAGGACAAATCTGTTGCCTGCTTTCATGAATGAAATGAAAAGAAATGTGCTTTCCATCTTGAATGACTGTTCCCCTTTCAGTTACAAGTCACAAGACAGTGGGGAGCTCATTCCCATTACCAGTGAAGTGAAAATGAAGAGTGCATGGACTGAAGTCAGAAATCAGCGTTTGACCATTTGGTGCAAGTTTCTGAAGGTAAAGAGGTGTTTATTCATATCCTAAATATTTAGTGCTTATTATATTGACTGATGCTATTTTTCTCAAGCTTGTGACTATTTTTAAATGAATGCATCTTTCCACAACAGGTGGTGGCACTGTATGATTATGAGGTCTCTGTGCCTGCTGATCTGGGCTTTCATGAAGGAGACATCATCCAAGTCTTAGCACACGGTGAGAATCACAAGATTTCAATACTAATTATTTAATGTTCTTAACCACACGTTTTTCATAACCTTTTAGTTGGTGATCCTTCTAATGCTTCTTTCAGAATATAAATGCAGCAGTCTTTTATATCATGAAAACGTATAAACTCAAATGTACTCGCAATTTAATTCCATCTGTCATCTTTAGCCGTTACACCCATTTTCTTATTATCCCCTTGTATGTTGGGGTTTCACAACTTTTGCCTCAGGTAAGTGCCACAAGTACATCTACCAGTTCCCTCTAGGTCCATTTCCAAGATTTTGATGTACAAACTAAGCAGAAGTAAAGAAGGCATATAGTGTGTTGGCTTTCATTGGCAAGGGAATTGAGTTTAAGAGCCGTGAGGTTATGCTGCAGCTCTATGAAACTCTGGTTAGACCACACTTGGAATATTGTGTTCAGTTCTGGTCACCTCATTATAGGAAAGATGTGGAAGCTTTAGAGAGGGTGCAGAGGACCTTTACCAGGATGCTGCTTGGACTGGAGGGCAGATCTTATGGGGAAAGGTTGCGGGAGCTAGGGCTTTTTTCATTGGAGTGAAGAAGGATGAGAGATGACTTGACAGAAGTGTACAAGATGATGAGAGGCATAGATAGAGTGGATAGTCAGAGACTTTTTCCCAGGATGGAAATTACTATTACAAGGGGACATAATTTTAAGGTGATTGGAGGAAGATATAGGGGAGATGTCAGAGGTAGGTTCTTCACACAGTGGTGTGTGTGTGGAATGCGCTGCCAGCAGTGGTAGTGGGGTCAGATACTTTAGAGACTTTGAAGCGACTCTTGGATAGGCACATAGAGGATAATAAAATGTAGGGTATGCAGGGTAGATTGATTTTAGTAGGATAATAGGTCGGCACAACATCGTGGGCTGAAGGGCCTGTACTGGGCTGTACTGATCTTTGTTCTAGAAGTGGATCCAGAACTGAATCTTATAAAACATTCCTCCCCAATCTGGGAGAAAAAAACTGCCCTAAAATCCTGTTCTTTTGTCTCTTCCACCTGACCTTTAATTCTGTTTTAATTATCTTGCTTCATCTCTATCTTCCCTTATGATCCTAAAATCAATCCTATTAAGACACAGTGCTTTGTCTTTCTTTAGCCTAACTAACTTACCTAAACTGTCCATTATAATATCAATCATTTTACACTCAGCCACTTCAGAATTCACCTCAAATTATACGCTTTTTTACTAAAGACTGGCCAAAGTGTTATTTAATTATCAGTCATTTATTGCAGACTTCAGTGGATAATTTTGTCCTCTAATTTTTTTTATATACTGAGGCATTTTATTATTGCCTTTGTTTCTTTTCAAAAAAAAGTTCCTTCAACACACTTCTTTTCACCAATGGGAGCCTAAAATTTGTGTTTTAACTTTTGAAAAGGAACAAACATGCACAATTGTTAATGTATACATCTACTTTGTGAAAAATTTAGCAAAAATAGGCAAATCGAAGGTTCATTCTGAAATTATGAACTTATGAAATTCTAAAATTTATATATATTGCTAGTCACAAATGTACTTGACTTTCAAGTCAGAAAAATAGGAATCTCTCCAGTCTCATTTCAGAATTGTATTTAAACATGCCTTCATGACTTTGCTTTCTTTCCACAGTAAACAACAACTGGCTGGAAGGACAATGCAATGGAAATACTGGCATCTTCCCAGCAAATTTTGTTAAAGAATTAAGCATGGCTGATATGAAGAATTCAGGAATGTAAAAGAAATTTACTGTGTGCTGATTTCTGAAATGGTCCTTTTTCTCCTCTGGTGTTACTAGAATGACTGTCTACAGATGAGGTGTTTCAATGCTTTGGATTTTTAAAATTGTTTTATCTAAACACCGGTTTGTGCCTGGGTTCATGACTGCTATCAAAAATAGATTAAGAAAAAGCTATTTTCTCTCAGGCCGTGTTTCAAGGCAATGTCCCAATATTTGCGCCACTCAAAATTGCACTGATATACAGTGTAGACTTTCTTGGACAACAACATTTTAACTGCTGGAAACATCCTGCTTTCCCAAAACTATTGTTTTGAATGCCTTTTGGTTAATGTCTTAATTATGAACAAGGTACCTTTGTCCAATTATTTGATTGCTCCACCGATCATTTTCTCAGGTGACTAAGGTTATCTATCAACAATTTTTACTTTGGATGAATCAAAGCAAATTCCAAAATATTACACACTATATCTTCAGTACCTTAAATAAATTTAAAGTTAAAAAATTCATAGGGGATCAGATTAATTGTTTTACTTCTCACTCACCAGTGTTCAATTGCTATATTTCTGTTTTTTTTTTAAAAAAAAAGACATTTTTACAGCATCACCTACCCTGACCTTTAAATGACTGACTTCATTTTGGCTATTTGCCAAGACAGATTACTGTGACTGAAATTTCTATTGGAGAAATCCTACAATTACACAGCTTTTCTGTTAGCTAGGATAAATAACAAAGCATATAGACACTGCAGGCCTGAACTGTAGATTCTTATGCATTCTATTTATTGTCAGGTCCATGTAGGTATTGGATAGTACACATTTTAAACAACTGTAGTCTCTCAATGTCCAGCTCAAGAAGAGGGAATAAATTGGCTGCTGGAAAGTCACCTGACTTTTGTAATCACTAGATTATTCAAACTTCTTGAAATTTCCAAAGTGGATTATAACAGACTCTTCTGAACAGCAACTTTTCTGTGGAAGTCCATCCTTTCCACTGTCAAGGTTTACTCTAAAACATAAGGACAATAAACCCCAAGGACAATAAACCCCCTCTGCCTGGGTAACAAAAAAAAGTGCTTGTCACCTTTTCTCAGTGAACAGCTTTTATTTACCTTCTATTTTATATCAATGACTTTTTTGACATCTGATTGCAACTACTTTGTTTCCATGAAAGATATCTTCCATTATGCATTCAGGGGCACTCATCATGCAATTGAAATTACTTTGATTATGAAATCCTTTTTAATTATGAAACATTACCGGCTTTGAGGCTGCCTGCAAACTAACATCAAGAATTCAACTGCAGGAAAAAAGGCTGCATCATCCTGCCTTCTTCAAAAATGTGGCTCAAAGCCTTTTCGAAGCCTCTTTGAACCTGTTTCAAGAACTCAGTTCACATACAAAGCACCACATCTTTTACAGAACTGTTAGCACCTGTCCTTCATCCTGCTGAATAATATTTTATTTAAAAGGAACTCAATAAATTCATCTGGATTCTGACTGCAGCCATCTGATCTTAACTCCGAAGTGGGAAAGCTCCTTCCTTCACGAATGAGAGTTGGTTTTAATTTTTCAGAGGTGCACTCCTTGCTTTAATGGTTGCATTTGCTGCCACTACAAAATATATTCTGCCACAGCACTGCTAAAGAACTTGCAGATAGCTTCCTGTATCAAAGAATGGGGCCAACCATACCATTTTCAGTGTAAAAATTTCTAACAATTTCAGCACCAATAAAGTGTATTTTAAAATTTTTATTATCAATGCAACTCAATTAAAGTTAATTCCAGGTTGACGGTCTGCTTGCTGTTCCACTCTCAACACTTGGTCAATATGTTGGTGAGCCCTGACTGTGCCTCCCTTGTCAGCAAATGAGCAAGAAGGTGGTTGGATTGAGGCAGTGAGGGACTTGGAGGCTGAACTGTTAGGGAGGTAATAAATGTGGCAGTGAGGGGAATGCTGAACAGGGGGCTGGGGCAACTACAGTCATAGAATCATCCAGCATGGAAACGGACCTTTCAGTCCTACTTGTCCGTGCCAACCAGACATCCTAATCTGACTTACTCCCATTTGCCAGCATTTGGTCCACATTCCTCTAAACTCTGCCTGCCTATTCATGTACACGTCCAGATGCCTTTTCAATGTTGTAATTGCACCGACATCCTCCACCACCTCTGGCAGCTTGTTCCATACATGCGCCACCCTTTGCATGAAAAAAAGTTATCCGTCAGGTCCTTTTTAAATCGTTTCCCTGTCACCTTAAACCTATGCCCTCTTGTTTTGGATTCCCCTACCCTGGGATAAAGACCTTGGACAGTTACCCTATCCATTCCCATCATGATTTTGTAAATCTCACCCCCTCAGTCTATGATGCTCCAGATAATAAAACTCCAACCTATTTCGGCCTCTTCCTATAACTCAAACCCTCCAGTCCTGGCAACATCCTTGTAAATCTTTTGTGCACTCCCTCACGTTTAACAACATCTTTCATTTAGTAGGGAGACCGGAACTGTATGCAGTATTCCAAAAGTGGCCCAACCAACATCCTGTACAGCCACAACATGGCCTGCCAACTCCTCTACTCAATGCACTGACAATAAAGGCATGCATACCAAATGCCTTTTTTTTTTAACCACCATGTCTACCTGCACCCCCAGGTCTTTTTGTTCAGCAACACTCCACAGAGCCCTACCATTAATTGTATAAGTCCTGCCCTGTCCTGGTTTCCCTTACCAACATGCAACAGCTCACATTTATCTAAATTAAACTCCATCTGCCACTCCTCAGTCCATTGCCACATCTGATCAATGTCCTGTTGTACTCTCAGATAATCTTCTTCACTGTCCACTACACCACTTTTTTGGTGTCATCTGCAAACTTATTAACCATACCTGCTATGTTCACATTCAAATAATTTATATAAATGATGAAAAGCAGTGGACCCAGCACCGATCCTTGTGTCACATTGGTGGTCACAGGTTTCCAATCTGAAAAGCAATTCTCTAACACTACCCTCTATCTCCTACCTTCAAGTCAATTGGTTAGCTCCCCTGGATATCATTTGATTTAATCTGACTAACTAATCTGCAATGTGGAACCTTGTCAAGTGCTTTGCTGATGTCCATATAAATAACGTCTACCGCTCTGCCTTCATCAATCTTGTTTATCACTTCTTCAAAAAAAAACTCAAAGATGATGACATGATTTGCCATGCACAAAGCCCTGTTGACTATCCCTAAATCGGTCCTTGCATTTCCAAATGCATGTAGAATCCACTCCAACAACTTACCCACCAGTGATGTCAGGCTCACCGGTTTGTAGTTCCGTTTTTTCATTACCATCTTTCTGAAATAATGGCACCATGTTAGCCGACCTCCAGTCTTGTGGCACCTCCCCTGTGGTTATTGATGATACAAATATTTCAGCAAGGGGCCCAGCAATCACTTCCTTAGCTTCCCACAAAGTTCTGGTTAACATCTAATCAGATCCCAGGGATTTATCTACTTTTATACCTTTTAAAATCACCAGCACCTCCACTTCTGTAATATGAACTCCTTGCAAGACATCACTATTTCCCAAGTTCCCTAGCTTCCATGTCCTTTTCCACAGTAAATTCTGACATGAAATATTTGTTTAGTATCTCACCCATCTCCTGTGGTTCCTCACATAGATGGCCACGTTGATCTTCAAGGGGTCCTATTCTCTCCCTAGTTACTCTTTTGCACTTCATGTGGATTCTCCTTAACTCTATTTGCCAAAGCCATCTCATGTCCCGTTTTTGCCCCCCGATTTCCCTCAAGAATGCTCCTACTGCCCTTATACTCCTCTATGGATTTCTCCTCTGAACTGCCTCCAGTACTAAATCTTTTCTCAAGTAAGGACATCAAAACTGGACATAATATTCCAAATGTGGTCTCACCAATGCCTTATATAATTGCAACATGTCCTGACTTTTTTTTAATCCAGTTCTTTTACAATAAGTGCTAGGATTCCATTCACCTTTATTACATGCTGCACCTCTATACCCACTTTGTGAATTATGCACAAAGATGCCTAGATCCCTCTGCACTGACACACTTTGAATGTGCTTCCCATTTAAGTAATAAATTTTTTTTTTATTTTTCTGAAAAAAAATGGGACAACCTTGCACTTATCCACATTAAACTTCATTTGCCAGATTCTGGTCCATTCTCCTAGTCTGTCAATATCCACCTGTAAACTCCCTCTCAATCACAGCCTGTTTTTCCACCGATTTTACTGTCATCCACAAACTTTGCTATGTTACACTGTCCCTTACATGGATTGTAAACGGTTGAGGTCTGAGAACCGAACACCGTGGCTCCCTACCAGTTACAGTTCACCATCCAGAGAAGGATCCATTTATCCTGACACTGCTTTTTATTAGTCAGCCAATCCTCTACCCTTAACCCCCTGGAATCTAACCTTCCGGATCAGTCTTCCATGCAGCTTGTCAACTGCCTTCTGGAAGTCTAGATATACCACATGCACTGGATCCCCATTATGTGCCTATAGACAATTAGTGCAGATCTCTGGCTGGAGAAACACATGGGATAACATTAACGGCACAATGGAGTAGGACAGGAATTTTTTAATTACATCCTTCCTGGCTCAATGTATGTGATTGACACAACAGTAGATCTTTACAAGGTGAACACAGTAGAAATAACACTCCTTGCCTACACCTATGAATGTCTGTTGCTGGTGACTTTTAAATTAACCACACACTTAAGGTGCATATACTACATATGCAAGCCTCATTTAAAAGCATTACATTGTCAGAGACAGAGGGGAAGCAGAATTGCTGGGGAGGGAATGATGTCAGTTTACATCTGTCCATAACATTTTTAAAAAAAAAAAAATCAGGTTGTGCGTGTCAATGTCTAAGCCAGAATTTATTGTTCATCCATTGTTAATTGTTCAGAAGGTGGTGATGAGCTATTGATACTAAATGACTAGGATATTAACACCATGGGAAGTACATTTATATACAGTTAAATAGTATTTATCAGACATGTCAAGACAATTTGTCATGAAATTCCAAGCTCCTGAGATGGAAAATATGAGTTGTGACTCATACCTACAAGTCTCTCTGCTCCTGCATCCTGCACCAGTTCTAGAATTTTATTCTTGACTTTATATTCCCTTATTTGATAACACCCCTAAGTACTTTGAAACATTTTATTAATGTTGCTTGAATTTTCTCCTATTCATTAATATAACCACAAAAGATATATGTATAAATAAAAAATATATTAATACATATAAATATATATAAATATACATACATACACAATTTTGAGATATGGAATTAGATCAGTTCTTTCAAGGCCTTTCTTTTTTGGAAAGGTTGAAGTCATTTGGACAGTGACTTTAATACATTATTTCTAAGAAGACATATGGCTGAAGTCAAGATCTTGGGAAAACACTGCAGTATTAATGGATAAAATGTTCAGTGTAGAGTTTATGACAGGAGAAGCACATCAAGGCGATCAGCTTAATTTTGACTTCAGAACAGATGGCTCATGGAAACATAGAAAATAGGAGCAGGAATAGGCTCCCCATTCAATATGATCATGGCTGATCATCTAACTCAGTGCCCTGTTACCACTTTCTCCCCAAAACAGCTGATCTCTTTAACCCGAAGAACTATATATGTCTCCTTGAAAACACTCCAGCTTTTGGCCTCAGCCACTTTAGTGGCAGAGAATTCCACAGGCTTGTCTCTCTTAGGTTAAGAAATTTCTCATCTTCAAGGTCTCAGTACCAAAAATATCCCAGAATTCAGTACCGAGGAGACAGTTTATCCCTCAGGAGAGCCAAAGTTTCCAGTCTAGTTCAGAATCAGTAACATTAGCTGAAAGGGTTTCTGGTTTGCAGAGCTTCCAAGCCGAAAGAACTTGCATAGAAATCTTCAAGTTGTCAGAACTTAAAAGATTTAGGCCATCAGATTTGAGATTCATATCTGCAGACTCAAAGCAACTGTAAAGCTGTCTCCACAGTCCAAGAAATAAAAACTGGCAGAAGTCAGTGAAGTAAAAATTTTAATATGAGACAGGAATGCCATTTCTATGGGATTTCTACACGATTGAGTCTCTGATGGATAGTGTTGAGAAACAGATCTAAACTTTGTTTTGATGTTTACATTAAGACCCAATTGTCTTCTACATAAATATAAATATGGTTTCAAATTTTTTCTTTTCTATAAACTTGGGCTCTGTTGCTAAAGAACATCGACCACCTTATGTGAATGTGTCCATGACAAACTACAATGTTAGCCAACTGCAGAAATGATACATACCTAACCAGGTTTTATTTCAGGATCTGACTCGTTAAGTATTACCATCAGCTGGAATTATAACAAAGTGGAGGCTCTTGGTTGGGATTTGAATTTATTGAATCTAAGTAGGATTTGTGTCTCTTTTAAAGAAATGAGTACCTGGAGATTCTGGACAACAAAAACGTGGTGTGGTGAAGTTTATTTTACAGATTGGACTTTCAAGATGGCTTTGTGTGTTGCTATGACTTTTCAGGGAGTAGAAAACAATGGATTATTTGAAATCTTTGACTAAAGCTAAACAAAGTTAACAGATAAATCTAAATATACAGGGGATGGAGTTAAAAGATGTTTAATTTTATTTGAAAAGCTAAATGGGCAGACAAAATGGCAAAAACATGTTTGGACCTTAACGTTATAATATTTTCAGAGGTACAGCTATGAATGTAATACACCGTAGTAAGGCGGGCAGTCTGCAAGCTATGAGCGTGTTTGGCAGGGGGGGTGGTGGTGGTGTGTGCGTGTGGAAGAGGCAATACTCGATGTTATATGAACTTGTTCTTAAGGTTTCAAAGAAATCAGACATTTGTAGAATTTGCAACACATTATGAACCAGACCAATGCCTCTCAACATATCAAGAAGATAGTCTAGACCCTAACCTTTCCTAATTTTAAAGTGCACGGCATTGCATTCCAGATGTAACTTGATTGGTCAAACTGCTTAACTTTAAGCAAAACACACTATTTTTACACTACTGTTAAAACACTGATGAAACTAAAATAAAAGATTTGGCTTCACTAAAATGCTTAACAAAATAATATGAAATAATACTAATTAACTGTTCCAATATAGTAACATCCCATAAACACATTCTTGGCAAAGGCAAATTCAGTAAAACAGATTGTCTCATGCAATTTTAGCAGCAGGAAGAAAATGCTTTTAGCTATAAGAGGGAGAGGAATAAGAGATTCCACATTCAGCAACATGACCCCAGCAACTGCAAAAAGCTAAAACTAAAATCTCTGGTTCTGTGGTAGCTTGCCCCTCCCATTCAGGCTACTCCTATTGTTCCAACTTTAAAAAAGACCCAAGGCCTCTCAAGCAGTTTACTTTAACAGCTTTGAGCATACTACTTAGCGCCTGTCTCAACCTTTCTTCATTAGAAAAGGACAAAATACACTTCTTAAAGCCATAGTATCATCACAACCAGAGGAAAGAAAAGGCATGGGATCAGTGGCTTTGATCAGTAAAAAAAATTAGGAAGCTGAGGGAAATCCAAATTGTCAAAAAAAAATTCAGGAATAATTTTCCAATAAACATCAGTAGACTTATTTTAGTATCAAAGGGCTGCAAAACACTATTCTGGCAGATACCTATGACACCTCAGAGTTACTAATGGAAATGATCACATGGGAATAAAATTGGAGGAATAGAAAATCTGAAGATGGAAAATATAATAGTTAAAGGCAGCAAACAGAACAATGCCAAAGTAAAAGCAGGAAAGCTATAATCTAAAAGTGATATAAAGAAAGTGATACACAGAAAATAGCATGCTTTGTCATCAAATTGGATATAGTAAAACCATTTGTTGGAAGACCAATTTCAATAGCTGTAGTGCAAAGGCAACATGTTTCTTTAGAATCTAAGGGAGAGATGGCTGAGGATAGTCAACATAATTCTTCCTCAATTATTAAGAAATTAGACCGCTGAATGCTCTGAAGGATGATTTTCCTTATTCTTCAAATCAAGCAGTAAACAAAGGTATTGAGACACACTGGAGCAAGCCAGTCACTGGTGGCAGAGTCTGATGAGACAATGTGTTTTCTGGAAGGGTTAATGAAGGGGAAAATATTAATTGGAGGTTATAAACTATTCCGAGTTGGATTTAAGAGTGATTTAGTAAACAGAGAAGTTATAGTTAGAATGGCAAAACAAATTTCTGTAAAAGGAATTGATTTTATCTTGGGAAATGACTTGGCTAATTCAAAATTCAAATTGGCCTCAGTGAAGGTAGTGGAACAACCAGTAAAGTTTTTAAAAAAAAGATACAGTCAGAACATTCTACATTGTTTCCTGTGTTGTGACTAGATCTCATGACCATAGACCTATTGTTACCAGAATGTTTTTTAAAAGACAGAGTACTAGTGACGAAATGGAGATCACCTCAAATACCAGCTGATGAGGAATGGGCAGTAGTCCACTAGTCCACTAGCTGGCAGTTCCGAGTATCATAATGAAATTTGAGAAGCTCATGAATTTCCAATAGGAGGTCATTTGGTATTAAGTAAACACAGATTAAAATTCCAGAACAGTTTTATTGGCCAGGATTACATTAAGATGTGGTCACATTTTGCCAGACACATCGTACACAAGATTGTGGGGAAATCCCAACCACCAATTAAGCCTGTGCCTTTAATTGTGAAAATTTCAAAGAATTGCTTGCAGCACCTTAATAGATTATTTATGACTCTTATCGAAAACAAGGAATTGCAATAAATACCATACAAAAATTACAGACTGTTGACAGGATTTTCTGAAATCAACCTTTGGGAAAAATTAGGGCAAAAATGCTAGTGGAGAAGTTAGTTCAATTTTTAACAAGATACTGATTAGCAGGATAAATAAATTTATCCTCGATCTGATGCCACAAGCATTTAAAAAAGTTTGTTTTGGAATACGACAATTTACATCAACTCAAAGGACATCAGAAAGATGGTATCAAACTTTAAAGACCACAGCACGAGTTTAGGGCGAAGGTGAAGTAATTTTCTTGTTACTGTTTGTCATTGAGAATCTAATAGAGACTTACTAAGACTATAACCAGATACATAAATCAATGTGTAAATAGACAAATTGTCTAATAGACGTCAATTTAGGACAGGGGTAGCTAACTCTTTCTCGTGGGCAGGTCATATTTCAATTTTTCTCTTCCTCACGGAGTCAGTGAGCAAATTTAAGAAAGGATTGCTACAACAGTAAACATTAATTTATTTTCAAAATTAAAAAGCAATAAACTGATTAGTTAAATGAGTAATTAATAGAAATGACCATTAAAAAGTGCAAAGCAGCCAAGTTTAATAAAGCCAACTGTGCCTTTCTGGTTAAGCAGAGCTGCAGAAAAAAGAAAAAAAGAATATCAGCCCCAATTCATGATCACCAGGGAAGGAGTGGCAACCCAAGCCAAAATAAGGACTTTGGTTCAACTAACACTGATCTTAGGTCACTTCTGATTCAGCACTGAGCTGACCTCAACAGAATTCACACGAAAGTAGGGGTCTGAAGTGAACTGACATAGCTTTCCCCCATTCAGCCTTATTCCTCATCTTTCTTTCTCATATCTCTCACTCCTTCCCTTCTGTCTACACTCCCACCAAGTCTTTTACCCTCTAATGCCGACTTACTCTGATCCCTTTAACATCAAGGAAATAATCCACGGGCCTTCGCACTCCAAAACCTTCCACCTGCACTATTACCATACCGTCAAGCATTTCACTTTGAAATGAAAGTGGCCAGTGATTTCTCTTTCTTACCAACCCCACCCCCCACCCAGAGAGATTTAAATGCAAATTGGAAAAAAGCTACTTTTTTTTTTTTAAGAATAAGAAAATTGACGGGACCAACTCACTGGCCTATCATTCTCCTCCCTCACCATCACAGCCTGACTTGTATTTCCCTCTTAGTAGACTCTCACTGCCTTCTTTCTGTGGCAAGAGTCATGGCCACGTGCCCAGCCCTCAGGCTGCTTGCTCCTCCTCCAGTCACAGACTGGTTCACGCCCACATTTGCTGCTAGTAGGCTTAGAAAAAGCCTCTGACTGGAGGCACAATTCCTTGCAAAGTCTTCCACACTACTTACCGGTATTTGAAACTCCAGCTTCAAATAAAACAAATTAAACAAACAAAAAGTTTGTGCAGCATTTAAGCCTTTTATGGCTCAACAGTTCTCCAGAATAAATTAGTTTCTAAGATGATGGTGCAAACATAGAACAGGATACACAAGCAGCCTCACTCAAGATGCCAAATTTCACTGCACTGTAATCATGTTTCAACATTTGATTATTCAAACATTATTGAAATGCTATTTTCCTCTTTGACTAAGCTACTTTTGCAGGAAAGAAAAAGTGCTATTCATAATGCCAGAACAGTTCAAAGGTGCTTTACAGTTAAATACTCCGGAAGCGTAGTTACTGTTGTAGTGTAGGAAAAATGACAGCCAATTTGCAGATGGCAAGGTAGTTGAGAGAGAGCAATGTGCTAAGGACCAGAGATGTTGAGGATTAACACTGGATACTGGAAGGTTAGCCAACTCTTCTTTGAACCAGGACTGTAGGAATAATTGGAACCATTTGAGAGAGCAGACTGAGTCTGTTTTAACAGCTGATCTGAAAGACAGTATTTCCAGTAGTCCATCACTCCCTCAGTACTGTACTGGGGTTCAGCTTAGAAATTCATGTTAAATTCTTGGAGTGGAATTTGAAACACATCCTTCGGAATTAGGGATCAGCATTACCAACTGAAATATCGTTCAGGGCAGCTAGTGTTTTCGTACTTCAAACGCGTGACTGTACAAGCAAAAGGTGGTCTGCAATGCTATCCAAAACAGTGAATATTACAACCAAGCCCAATCCTCAAGCATTTCTGTGCAGGACTGAATGCCATACCAACCAGGAATTCAGCTTGGCCGAGTTCCCCAACTTTTGTTCTGCGGGACTTAAAAAAAAAAGTTAGTTATGAAAATTTAAGTAGCACACAACACAACGTAGCTTGCATGTTTAACAGTATTTAATGTAAGTTTAGCACCACACCAATGTTCGTAGATTTTTCCTTCAAGTAACTTACTGTGCACAAAAGAACAAGTGATTAAACATAAAACAGTTTTGTTTAGAACATGGTTTCATTTATTGAAGGCAAAGCTGATTCCAGCAATTGCTGCACAAGTTCTTACACAAAAAAGACATGAACACAAAAGCTTAGAACAGAAACCATTTTTTTCCAAGGGCTCTATAATCTTTCTTGCAGTGCTCCTGTTCCCCAGAAATATAATTATTCCAAACAGCATACATGCATGCAGGTTGTCAATTCATGCCCTGGTACTTCTGCTAACCTTCTGGGACCTGTCAGCTCAGTGAACAGATTCAGGGTGCAGTGAGGTGATTCAGTACCAGAGTAGTTTTAGAGTTAGGTGACCAGAGCAGAACAGTGGAATGTTTCAGTGGGTTGGGCTGTGGAGCTGCGCTTCTAACTGTGGTGCAGAGCACTGATTTAGAACAAAGGCTTTTGGGGCGGGGATTCTCTTTGTTGTTTTCAATTAGTAAGTCTTTATTACCGTGAAGAGGTTGTTGTACACTATTTCCCTCAAAACAAAAATGGATTCCTTTTCTCCACTTCTTTCTAGTGTTGCACTGCTTACCAACCTGGCCTGAATGTTCTAGCACCACCCGAGCTTCAAACCTTACCCCACAAGCATGAGATATTGGTTTTGAACAGTTCTCAGCAACTCCGACATGTAACTCTTCCATCCCAAAATAAACAAAATGCATTCCTACAGTTACATCAGCTATTGCCATCAGAAATTCAACTGAAGTCTCAACTGAAAAAGTGTTTTCATCACTGTGACTTAAAGAATGGCTTTAACAGGTATTTTCCATGTGACTTTGCAAATGATACATTCAGATCTTTCCACAAAGCTCAAAAAGGACAGAAATGTTTCGTTACATTCAAGAGCCTGAAACTTTTACTGGTATGATGACCACAGTGTATGACCCATGCTATTCATTTTCATTCTTAAATTGTAAATGGGAGTAGCAGGTGGCCACAAGCAGCAACAAATAGCCACAAGTACAGGTGGCCCACTTACTCAGTCACACACACCTGCTTTGTGCCCCGTTTTGCTGAACCAGCAGCATTGCTGGACCCTTTTTTCACTTTGAAAGACACTGCCAAATTGGGAATAAAAATCACCATCAGACAGAAGCTGACAAAAGCTGTTCTTATCTAGTAATTAAAAGAAGCCTGAAACTAGAACTAAATAGATAAATTAACCCTTTCAAGGTTGGTATGCTATAGTAAAATTTATAGCTACTGTTATAATCAAAAACCACTAATTTAAAATCCTTAGCAATTACTGCTTTTTTTGTTTTAAGCAGAGCTCTCTGCTGCACGTCTTATCAGCATTTTAGCTAGGATTGCTACAGAACAGTATCACAAGTATTTAATATTGTAATTACTACTGCAGCTATTGACATTAACGACTAGTTTTTCCTTTTAAAAAATCTATTAGCTAAAGGTGCAGTGATGTGAAGCTGTTTTCAAACACACAAAACCCTTGCCTGTCTGAAAAGTTACCTTCATATAAATTCACTAACAGAATGCCTCCACACATCCTTATGTAATAGGTTTGAGGAAAGCTGACAAATGGGCCAGTGTCACTACATTTAGAGATTACAAGCACACCTGTTCCTTAACAGAGCAGAAAATGATCACTCTCAATAACCAAGATGATAAGAGGATTTAAAAAACGTAACCATGTCCTCACCAGCAGAGCATTCATTAGCTGATTCTCTTTTTTTTTTTTACAATGCAACACCACCTCAGCCCACTTGACTTTTCATTCCCCATCTCATCTCTCTTTGTTTACCAACTGTATTAGAGATGTATAAAATGGAGAACAACACAGGAGATCTTTGACCAGAATCAAGTGTTTAGGAGATAACTGAGTGAGGCAGGTGATGGACTTTCCTCTGGAAGTGACAGGAAGCATGTAATGTTCTTTTTTTATTTTTTCCTCAGCAGCAGCTTTGTGCACACGCAGCACTGGTGGAGTGCTTACGCCCTCTCAACAGCAAGAAAACACAGAAGAGAGGGCTGCCACCTGCAGGGGACCGTGGGTTGTAATGCAAACCCAACATGCCTTGAGTTGTGTAACCTGGATTCACCGGTCATGCCATTGTGCCTCTCAGTGTGGTGGGTTCAGTGTGCCGAGTCCTCGCTGTTGCTTCTGTTTCTGCTGCATTAGCAGCTGCTCCAGTGCAGAGGGTCCAGGATGCATCATTGAACTTGACCAGATTGACTGAAAGGGGAGATGGGGAAAATAAGTAAACCTATTATGGAAATTCAGCAGTCCATAAAGAAATATTTTTGAGTAAAGGAATATGTGCATAGACAGAGTGCGCACATCCCAAGAACAACAGAGTCATAAAGTCAGAGTCAAAGCACAAAAACAGACCCTTTGGTCCAACGCATCTGCGCTGACCATACATCCCAATCTGACCTAGTACCATTAGACAGCATTTGACCCATATCCCTCTTAACCCATCCTATTCCTTTACCCATCCAGGTGCACTTTAACTCTTGTATTTGTTCCTGCCTCCACCACTTCCTCTGGCAGCTCATTCCATACACGCACTACCCTCTGTGAAAAAGTTACCCCTCAGGTCCTTTTTTTAAAAAACACCTTCCAAATCCAATTTCAGACTAGATAAACTTAGAGTTTGACTGATAACGTCACCTCTGCTTTAGATCCAAAATAACAGTTTACTGTAAAATATTATGCCATTATCAGAAAAATGCAAAAATTGTTTTACATTCTAGACAAAAAGAGAACTAAAGGATACAAAATCAATTTTATATTCAGCTTGCCCTTAATAGTTCACTAATACATTTTGGGACTTGCGAGTAACTGACTAAGTCTTCACTGCTTGAATTTGATGCAAATAGGTGGCTTGCTAGGCTATTTCAGACAACAGACATTGACACTGGTGAGAGACTGGAGCAACTCACTGGTCAAACTAAGAACACCAGGTCTCCTTCCATAAATAACATTAATGAACCAATGGGCTTTTAGAACATCCAGCAGGTAAATGGTCACCTCTATGTTTCATTTCCAGACTTTTTCTTTTAAAACCAGAATTGAAATTCTTAACATATCACAGTAAGATTTGAACTCATATTCTTTGGATTATTAGTCTGGGCCTCTAGTTCATTAATCCAGTAACATTACTACAACACTGCCAAGCCCACTGCTTTAATTATGTGCTGTTTTTTAAGGTTATCTTGAAATATAGTTGCAGTCTTAGTAGCTGGATCATTTAATTACTAATTTTTTTAAAAATAGTAACTTTATGCCAGAAGGAACAAACAGATTTGTATTTATATAGCATCTTTTATATCTGACAGGCATATTTTGCAGCTAGAAAAGGGTGCTGACTGGTTGGAAAGTCAACTCTGGGTTCAAATGCAATTGTGGCAGCTGATTCAATTGTGACTTTCAAAAAGCAGCTGCATAATTATGAGGAGAAAAAAAAATTTCAGGGCTATGGGGAGAAAGGTATGGACTAAGACAAGCTGGGTTGTACTTGTAGAGGGAGGCGTTCGGCTGAATAGCTTCCTTATGTGCTATAACTACTGATTTGTTTTTCTAAAAGATCTCTAATGTAGGAACACAAAGAAGCCAATTTCCACATAGCAAGACGCCACAAACAACAATGAAGACAATTGACTAGAAAATCTGCTCTGGTGCTGGTGACTAAGGAGTAAGTACTAACCACCTGATTGTACGTACTTCTGCATTCATCCTTGAAAAAAACTTATCCAAGTTATTTGAAACCAGCACCTTGTGTTTGGCCTTCCACTCCAAAGATCCATATACAATGCTCAAAATACACAAGCAGGGGTGGTGGGTGAACTTGCTCCCAAAAACGGTCAAGTATTTTGGGATAAATTACGCCCAGGGCACTCAATCAGGAAAAAAGTTGCCCTCATAAATGGAACTGAAATATTGATAGGAGTTGCTCCTTTTCAACATGTGGCTGTTAGACCCCTCAATGAGTTTAATCAGCAAGTTTAGGAGAGAAGCAGCTGGTGATGAGAGGAGTTTCTGAACAAAGTTTGGGAAACTGGGGCAAGAATGAGTCAGCTGGCAGCAGCAGAAGGTTGGGCAGAGTCTGCTGAGTGAAGCAAGAAGCAAGTGACCACAAAATTATGTGGGAGAAGGCGAGGGGAAGGAGGAAAGAAGCAGACAACTGCTTGGGTTTTTTCTTTTTTTGGTGGGGGGGTGTGGGGAAGAGAGGAGGTGAGTGGGGGAGAGGGAAACAGGCGATTGCAAAGGGGTAAAGGGGTCCGGAGATTATCAGGGGTTACCTGTCGAGAAAGAATATTTGGCTAATTAGCAGCCAGTGAAAACTGAAGTCACAAGTAATGAATTCCATGCAATTTAACATACTCTTTATGAAGTGTGCCAGTTATTGAAATAACCGTTTGGTGCGATTTTATGTCTGTTGTCTTGTGCCAATTTAAATATGCTGGCATCTGGAAATACAAGTTTTCCTTGTGTGTTTACCTTTAAGATTATTAAAGGGTTGATCATTATTGAAGATTTGATGAATAATTCTATTTTGGCTTCTGAGCGCCCAATACCACACATAAATATAGAAGGCAATTTACTACACGACTACGTCTCACCTAATGAAGGAGTTCATGAAAATCAAAAAGTAGCTCCTGAAACTAAAAACACAGCCCCAGAAAATCAAAAATTAGCCCTTAAGAAATCTCAGCAAGAGACAGAGTCGTAGACAGAACATGTACAGCACAGAAACAGATCCTCTGGTCCAAATCATCCATGCTGACCAAATATCCTAAATTAATCTAGTCCTATTTGCAAGCATTTGGCCCATATCCCTCTAAACCCTTCCTATTCATGTATCCATCCAGATGCCTTTTAAACATTGTGATTGTACCAGCTTCCTCAACTTCCTCTGCCAGCTCATCCATACACGCACCTCCCTCTGCATGAAGAAATTGCCCCCTAGCCTTCTTCACTAACTTGTCTACCTGTGACTCCACCTTCAAGGAGGTATGAACCTGTACCACAAGGTCTCTTTACTCCTTGAAGGTGGACCCCTCGAAAAAATAATTATTCTGACCAGCTACTCAACCCTTTCTCCCTTGATCCCAACAAATCAAAATTTCTTTCCTATCTCTGGATTCTCCAATATGGTCCACCATTGTTCTCTCAAGTCTCAAGACACAAGTGTAGTTGGCATAATGGGCTGTGCCATTCATCATCAGATCAAGCTGAATATCAGGTACCAACAGACCTCCAGTAATTCTCCTGTTAAATCTACCCTCATCTGCAGCTAAGAAACAACTTAGGCATCTCCATTAACAGCAGTCTCCTTAAACCACAGCTCTCTGTATTTTCAGCTCAATTACCTAATGTGAGGAGATCATGAACTTCTGAAACCATCCGTTCAGCTGTCCCTGCTGGTCCCCCACCGTCATTTTTAACTGAGCCAAACTATTGTCATCCCCTTGCCATACCCTTTTTTTCTTGAGCTTTCTGCCTCATTCCCTCCGCTTGGCCCCATACCCATGATCTTTGACCTTGTAAGCTACCTTGTCACCTCAAATTCCATCATTTCCAAAACAATTAAACATCATTTTACAACCCAAATTTGTGCCATCTTTCCTGAAGCTTCCTATATGTATTTCTCTTCAATCAAATTTTTAAATGTGTCACAAGTTCACAACAGCCCCTAATTAATAAGAGTCACACAGAGTCTAATAGGAGTCAGATTCATACAGCTTGGAAAGAGACACTTCAATCCAACTCGTCCACACTGACCAGACATCCCAATCTGACCTTGTTCCATTTGCCAGCATTTGGCCCATACTCTTCTAAATCCTTTCCATTCATTCACCCATTCGGGTGCCTCCACCTGCCTCCGCCACTTCCTCTAGCAGCTTGTTCCATATAGGCACCAACCACAGCGTGATAAAAGATAACACCTCAGGTCCTTTTTAAATCTTTCCCTTCTCACCTTAAACCTATGCCCTCTAGTTTTGGAAGCCCCCACGCTGGATAAAAGACATTGGCTATTCACCCTATCCATGCCCCTCATGATTTTATAAACCTCTAAGGTCACCCGTGAGTCCTTCTCCCATGACTGATCATGAAGCATTTACCTTAATTGTTCTGCAACATTTGACAGTTGAAATAACATCACTTCCAACGTGCCCAATGTGTTATTCAGCTCAATGAGATTTTCCACAGGTTTGTCTTGGCTCTGATTTTACTGTCATAGCCAAAGTATCTCTAACAAGAGCTTCTTTTCCCATTGCTTTATCTTCATGTGTCTAGGACATCTCCTTGCTGTCTTCTGTACGTAATCCACAATGCTGCCCATTTGGCAGCATCATCTACTGATATAGGATTAGCTACCAAACATATGCTGATGACATTCAGCTCTATTTCTCCATTGTGGTTAGTCAGTAGCCTTGGCTGACATCCAGTCTGGGATGAGCTGCAACTTCCTTTAGCAAAATATCAAGAATGAAGCCACCACGGACTGTACCTTTGCCACCAATTCCATTCCCCACCCTGTCTTAGGATGAGTCAACTCTAATTGCAATCTTGGCATCCTATTCAATCAAGTTCAGTTTTCAAATTCATACACTATCCTTTACACAGAACACCTACTTTCACCCCTTTGAAGTCACCTGCTTCTGTCTCAGCCATCCCCTGCTGAGACCTTCATTGATGTCTTTGTCACTTCCCGACTTTAAATGTATTGGGCACTACTGTGAAACTACCCCCCAGGTGATAGTGAGTCTTCCGCCTGTTTCATAGTCGGGTTTATTGACAACAGCATTGTTGACATAGTCCATTATATTTCAATGCCTGTTCCGTGTGGAATTCACCAATATCAGATTTGGCTGTTATAACTGGTCTCAACATTTCTGTCAAAGAGGATAAAAAATAATTTAAAAAATTAAATGGTGACTTGATTGAATTTGAAGATTAAGGGGAACAAATGGAATAGATAGAGAAATTATTTCTGTTGGCTGGGGAGTCTAGAAGCAGGGGCTTCATCTAGAGCCAGACGTGCAGGAATGAAGTTAGGAAACATTTCTACACAAAAGGATGATTGGAATTAGTAATTCTCTTCTACAAATAGATACTGAAGGTACATAAAATTCTTATTTTAAAACTGAGATAGTACATTTTGGTTGACAAAAAAAAAAATCGAAGGGATATGATGATAGATGGAGTTAGTTGACAGATGAGCCATGATCTAAATAACAGAACTGATTTGGAATGTTAAATGGCCTACTCATCTGTGTTCAAATGACCCTACTCCAAGTATCTAGACAGGATCCAACATAGCTGTTACGGACTCTTTGACTAAACAAGGCCACCAACAAAACCTACATTATCATGAAATTTCAAGAATGCACATTTAAAAGAACTAGCGGAGGACTATTTCCACTGGTAGAGTCAAATCCCAGCGTCAACCATTACCCTCAGAACTGGAAAGGAAAATAGGAATCAGGTAGGACAGAGGAACGAATCAGTCAGATATCATACCTTGAAACTGTCCATGAGCAATGTGGACGAGTCATCCAGTGTGGTGTCTGGGGCAGCCCACGTGTTGCTAGGTGTACCACCCTGATGCCAGGTGTTGTCTGAAGAGGAAGATGCAGCAGGTAGATAGTCCAGGCCAAATCCACTCATTACTGCAAATTTTTAAAGAAAAAGAAAAGGCCAAAATTAAATATACGGTATGTTAAGGAATTATTTTAATGTACACTCTAAAAAAAATTGAAAATACCAGTGACGGCCTGGTTTGATGTTGGAAATTATAACTTACATTGCCACCAAAATGAAAATGAAATAATAAAGACCACAAATAAACGCTGCATGGGAAAAGAGTACTGTTTAAGGATAATTATTTTAATTTGGATTTCCCTCCCTTTGACCAATTGCATACTTACAAATTCATTATATTAACTGATATATCTGTAAGAAAAACTTCTATTTATATAGCACCTTATCACATTAAGATGTCTCAAAGTGCTTCATGAAAAAGATTTTATTTTGGAAGCACAAGACTTATTTCCACAAACAGCTATGAGATGAACAATTAAATAATTCAGGCCTTTTGGCCTTTGCAGCATTGGTATTCAGCACATGAGAAGTCTCTGTTCTTCGAATAGTGCTATATGACGTTTAACATTCAGATCAACAGGCAGATGGTGATTCAGATGGCAGGGATATAATTCAATTTTTAACCATTGCTGCAGTCAAAAATTGATAACTTGTGCCTTTAAAGACAATTTCTTGACAGCTTGCTAAAGTTTTTAATTCTTTGGCTTTTCCTGATCACCTGTTGATATAAAATTATTGTTTAACCTACGCCATCTGTTCTAGTGGAAATATTGAGCCCACAGGAAACCCAAATTAATCATTCACCTTGTCTGAATTATTTCGCCCGTTCATTATCAGGCTTAATAACTTGTATCGTTCACTCTGGACTGTATAGTGAACCATTTCAAAAAAACATGCACAGGTTACAGGCAACAGAAATTATTTATTAACTTTAGAATTTTACAAAGGCAAATGAACTAAGTTCTAAATAACTTAAGCACCCTTTTATTCACATAGTTAAGCCACCCATTAAAGATAAAGGAAGATAGCAATATTTGAGGATGCTAACCTGGCTTGTCAGTACGTTTCATGTTCCAGCGGTCAGCCAACCTCCTCTCACTGTTGTCAGGCGTTCCAATCGGTCCAAATCCAGAGAATGAGTTCTGGTTGTGAGTCGGAGGGGAACTTGGTAGGCTGCTGGGATTAGAGGAGTGTGGAGACTGGCTTGCTGGTGTTGAATGATCTATTGTTTTAAGAAACATGTGAAGAATGAACACAAAAATAGAAAATGAGGATTCTTCCACCCCAACCTGCAATGGTTCCACTAAGAATGAAAGAAAAAGCCTGTCATTTCACTAGCATAGACTAATGGGCTGGATTTGAACCTAGATTCCAGGAGTTGGAACTTATCTTGTCAGTTATTTACCAAGATGTTTATAGGTGTTTAGAAGGTTTTTAAAAAACATGCTGTTATTACTTTTCCCTGAACAAAATGCAAATCAATATCCTTAATTATTTGGTGATCAATTGACCAATTACTGCAGGGATTTAAAAACAATCAAAATATTACTCAAAATAATTTATTTCCTTGCTCAATATTTTAAAAAAATTGCTCAGAAGCTGCTAAATTAAAGTCACGGTATGCTGGTGTCTATTCATACTGAAAAATACTGTGACTGAAACAGGGCTTCACTTACACCACTCAAAATCATGAAAGGAATATTTTCAGTTGTGAAGTATTTCATAGTTCTGTGTCTTTGCTCTAAGCAAAGATTACATTTTAAACACTGACCTGAACTGGCAGGAAGAGAAGGGGACCAAGGGTTTCCATCAAAAAGTGAGTAACAGGAGGCCTCGTGGAATGCTTGGGGTAGTGCATTCTCTGATTTCCCACTTGGTGCTAAATTCTTGCCATAAACCTCACTGAAGATGCTGTTATTCTGAGAGTTCTCCTGAAGTAACAAGGAAAATGTAATAAGGTCAATTGATTTGGCACCCTGATAAAATATTCAAGTTAAAACATCATTTCAACGATATGTTTTGTTTCATGACTATCGTCACATCTGTCTACATTTCAGCTTGAATTTTCTGACCAGATGCAAGTAACTAACAACTGAGTTAATTGACACTTTGTAAAGAAATCAAAATAAAATCAAGCTAAAAGTAAATAAATATCTTACAAGTATTACTCTGCTATGTAAACTTCATAACCTAATGTTTGTTCTTAGATTATTCTACTACTGGGTGCCTACTAAAGCCAAGTACCAATAGCATAAAGGAAACCAGAAGCTCCAGTTCAGCACTGAACTGAAGATGTGGAGTACAGTTTGCAATATACATCATAAGACAAAATTATCTCAATGGAGGAGCTGAGAACTAAATAAGTGTCTTTATTTCATAGAATCAATCTTGGCACATAGAAAATGAGGCTTTTGGGGAGGCGGGGGGGAGGAGAAGGCATTATTTCCTTAATATATCTTTAATAATTACAATATGAAACAATTAAAATGTACACCTGCTACTCTGAGAAGTTAAAAAGCATTGAAAAAACTGTTATTAATTTTTGGAGACAGGTTTTGATTTTGCTAAATGTACCTGATTGAGTGAAAAGGGTGGTAAAGATAATAAGGAAGAAGACGTGATTAGCTCAGAAGGTCTCTCAAGTCGTGACCTGTTTGGCATCTACATGAAACAAAAAGGTAATTAAATTACATTAAAATTAAATGTTTTGGAAAGTATGTCACATCTATATGCTATATTAACTTATTACATACATTTATATAATGAATGACTGAATTAACAGTCACATTTGACTTTTCTGACATTTGCTGATATGTTCATTAACTCCTCCATCTTATTCGGGATCCATAAAAACAATTAACAGATCAGATAAGCTGTATTTTAGAAACTCTCTCGTGGAATGTGAGCGTTGGTGAAGCCAAAGTTTATTGGCCATTCTCAACTTCCTTTGAGAAGATGGCAGTGAGCCACTTTCTTGAACTACTGCAGACCACCTGCAGGTGTAGATACATTGTGGTACAGGTTTGATTCTCAGTCATAGAATCCTTCACACTGACCCTCCAAAGAACATCGGACCCAAACCCACACACCCACCCTACCCGAAACCTGCATTTCCCATGACTAATCCACCTAGTCTGCACATCTCTGGACACTATGGGCAATTTAGCACCCGGAGGAAACCCAAGCAGACACTGGGAGAATGTGCAAACTATCTGCGTGGAGTCGCCTAAGGATGGAATTGAACCCAGGTGCCTGACGCTGTGAGGCAGCAATGCTAACCATTGAGCCACTGTGCTGTTTCCCAGTTAGGGAATGAGGAATTACTGAAGCTGGGTTATTAAGTACATGCATGGCTGAGATAGACAGACTATAGGAATCCCAACATGTATACTGACCACTGAAAGGAAGCTTGCAGCACACAGTAAGTAATTGGTCCCCGGCTAACTTCTCAATTAGGACATCGAAGACAGGGAGCTCACTTGACTGCTCCATTTCATGTGCCAATTTGAACAAAATGAATGGAGTCCTTCAAGACATGCAAGGAAATTCCAATGTACAGTTGCAAATGTATCATTCTAGAGATACAGTTCTCATGGAACCCAAAAACACATTGTTTTTAGCCAGGTAGCTCCAGGTTTTTGATCCAGCAACAGTAAAAGGAATGATGTTCTAGCTTAAAATCAAAATATTGAATAAGAACTGGAAGATTATGGTGTGCCTTTCTGCCCATTGTATTTGTCCTTTTAGGTGGCAGGGTTTGTGGGTTTGGCAAGTGTTGTGAAAGCAACCTTTGTGACTTGCTGCAATGCATCTTGTAGATGGAAAACATGTCCTGCTACTGTGCACCTGCAATCGAAGGAATGAATGTTCAAGGTGGAGGATGGGTGATCAAATGGGTTGCTTTGTCCTGGTTGATGTCAAACTTCTTGATTATTGCTGGAGCTGCATTCATCTAGGCAAATGGAGAGTATCCAGCACACTTCTGACATTGGAGTGAGTTACTCGCTGCAAAATTTTCAGCCTCTGATGTGCTCTAGTCACAGTATTTATTTGGCTAGTCCAGTTTCTAGTCAGTGGTAACTCCAGGATGCAGATATTGGGTTCCAGTAGTAATGCTGCTGAACAAGTTTTGTTTTCTCCATTTACAAGTTTGTTGACGACACCACCATTATCACTTGGATCTCAAACAACAAGACGGAGTACGGGAAAGAGATTGAGTGCTTAGCAGCATGGTGTAAAGACAACAATCTCTCCAACATTAGTAAAACGAAGGAGCTGATCATTGACTTCAGGAAGTGGAGTGGAGGGCATGCCCCTGTCTACATCAATGGTGCTGAGGTGGACATGGTCAACAGCGTCAAACTCCCAGGCGTGATGATAACCAACAATCTGTCCTGGCTCACCCACGTTGATGCGATGGTAAAGAAAGCACAACAACGCCTCAACTTCTTCAGGAAGCCAAGGAAATTTGGCATATCCACAAAGAATCTTACCAATTTTTAAACATGTGCCATAGAAAGCATCCTGGGTGCATTACAACATGGTATGGCAACTGCTCTTCCCAAGACTGCAAGAAACTACAGAGTCGTGAACACAGCCCAGGCCATCATGCAAACCAGCCTTCCATCCACTGACTCCATCTACACTTGCTACTGTCTCAGGAATGTAACCAACATAAAATACTTTTCCCACTCTGATTATACTTTTCTTCCATCGGGCAGAAGATGTAAAAGTTTGAATACACGTATGAACAGATTCAAGAACAGCTTCTTCTCCGCTTCAATCACAACCACCTTCCTTTTTGCTAGATATGATTCCAGCCAATGGGACATTTTTCATTGATTCCCAGCAAGTTCAATTTTGTTTGTTCCTAATGTCACACTTCATACTGTGTAAAACAAAACAGTACTGCTATCAAAAAAAACTGAACCAATGGCAGTAACAATGAGAGGCTATAGGACCTACAAGTCAGTCAACCAGTTTTAAATGCATCTAGGGCTTCCTGCTGCCATACAGGTTTCTCCACACATTAAAAAGACACTGAACATCAGTTTATTTCATAACATTGAAAAATATTAGTGGAATAACTTAAAAGATACTATTCTGCAGGTTGAAAACGTTCAAATTAGCCTAAAAATTCATACTTCAAATGATTTGGTTACCCTAATGTAAAAAATAGCTGTTGTGTCAACAGCTGTGTCTGCACATTCACATTCTTGCTGGATGTGCGAGAAACCCAATTATAAAATTTACTTAGCTACCACTCTTCCCAATTTCCAGCCACAGTAATGTATTCAACATTTTGCAGGTAATTTCGAGGACCTAGTACTCTCACATTCATACCACTAAACTTCAATCTCCGTCTCTATTCTGGCAGCAATATACAAACTCAATATCAATAGTAGAAGGCAAAAATATGGACATTCATAACAAGATTTCAGTATCAAAAGCTTGATTCTGACACACAAGCACAGGAAACTGGCACTCTGAACTTTTAAAACACAATATTTAATAGCTAAGTTGATTCAAATCTCTAAAGAAACCCTACATACAAGTTGTACACCCATCATTATCATGAGAATCTCTCCTACTGTCGTGGTCACGTTGCAAAAAAAGTAAAACTGCCAGAACATAAACTGAAATGCTAACTTTTCCCTTCTTCATAGATGCTGGCTGACCCGAGTTATTCACGCAATTTGCTTTTATTTCAGATTTACAATGTATGCAGCACTTCACTTTTGCTATCAAAGATCAGATCACTACATATAACAAAACATTAAGGAATATATGTAAGAAAACCTTGAAAAAATTCTTCCAATCTTACAGCTTGAAACATTAAGAGATGAAATTAAAAAGAAAAACAACTTATATGCAATATTTAAGAAATTGGTTGCCATAATTTTAATGACCTTTCCATAAAGCACTGGGATTATCTTGAACCCAAAAACCTTCTTAAAATGAACTTCCTCTGTTAGCAATGTATAGTCTTTGCGACTTTCCTTCTTAAATGCTGCACTGAAGTTTGCGTGTACGTGCAACTAAGTCTTTGAACACTATGACTGGCACTGAATTTTAACATCAACAGCAGTTGACAACACAAGTTGCTACACTGGATTCTAACACCTGTATTCACAAACATTGTGCAGAATATGCATGAACCCAGTTTCCCAGACCGAACAGTTGTATATTCACCTAGTGACACTTGTTTAACAAGTGGAGCGAGACAAGTGATTTCGTGGGGGGGCGGGGGGTGCAGACATGGAAAGAGTCCATATTACAGATCCTGTAACTCAGGTGCCTCTGAAGAAAGAAAGAAGTGATTGAGCAGTAGCAGTCAATGTGTGATTCAATGACAGGTCTTCAGAGTGGAATTCACACAAAAATTAGAAGAAAGCACCTCATGCATGAAAGAAGTTGTGTCTTACGCCAATGTGATGATATGTCCTTCCGTGAAGATTGTGATAGGTGCCTTTAAAATCATGAATAATCAATGAATGAAAGAGAGAGAGCATGAGTGCACCCATTTTCCCACCTTTGTGCAGACGATAGTGCCTTGTGCCTGCAAGAAAGTAGCCATGTCTGGAATGCCAACATCCTGGTCATTCAGATTAGAATCAGCAACACAGACATAACTGCCAGCCCTGGTAAACACCCAGTCAACTGCACCATCTAGGAAATCCCAAAACTGTCTGTAGAAGACCTCTGGAAGGATTTAGTGCCAAAAAGATTGAGGGCTGTGGTGACTTTGACTGGTAAAATGTGATCACCAGCTCAATCAAGTGGCAGGCTGTTTAGGAGGCTGCATATATCCATCATTACTAGACCTAAGATCTTGAGGCACTGGTGTTCAGACACAAAACACCTTCCTGTTGCAATTCATTTCGACTCCCCCTCCCACTCCCTGGATGACATGTCCATCCTGGGCCTCACCCATGTCACAATGACGCCACCCAAAAGTTGGAGGAGCAGCACCTCATATTCCGCCTCAGGAGCTTACAGCCCAATGGCCTAAACGTGGATTTTACCAGTTTCAAAATCTCCCTGCCCCAGCCTCATCCCATAACCAATCCTCCCGCTCTTCCCCACCTTCTTGACTTGACACAACCTGTCAACTTCTCTCCCACCGATCTGCCCTTCTCTCCTCACTGACCAATCCCCACCACTCCCTGCCTGCACTCACCTACCTTCCCCAGTCCCACCCCTCCTATTTATTTCTGAGCTCCCTTCACCCTCCCCATATCTAGAGGGGGGTTCGGACCCGAAACGTCAACTTTCCTGCTCCTCTGAGGCTGCTTGGCCTGCTGTGATTCTCCAGCTCCACAGGTGTTATCTAGAGACTGATCTTATGTTTTTGTGTCAACAACACCTCCTGTTCTATAGCCCTCTGCTATGCAGCTGAAGGTCTGTCAGCAGCAGGCTCTGGCAGGTGCTGTCAGTAATCAACCTCTATGGTCTAATCCGAAGCAGAAGCAGCAAATCTCCACAAAGTATAGAAGATTAGTTCTAAATTGTACAGCTATCACTGCAGCAAAAGTAATTCACAAAAAAATCTTTTTCCACTAACGGGTACAAAAGCATTTCTGAGTATTCAATATTAGTTGATTTTGTCCAAGATTGGCTCAGAATCCTTGATTACTGCTACACATTCATTTTAGTTTCAG